ATCCAGGCTTTTACCTCTTTCTTGTATACTACAGAGGTTTAGCATTATTGCCCAATGGAAACATACAAAAAAAGGTTTGCAAGCAGCTGAGTTATGGCTCCTGTTCTGCTTTTCAACCCAAAGTGTGTGGTGTTGCTTTCTGTGGTTTGCTGTGTTCTTAATTTTTCTTTCTGTTTTTATTACTGCACTGAAAGAGGCTTATAAATTTGACCATGATCAGTCATGACAGACTGTCGCTGTCTTTTGATGTCTTTAATGTGCATTTCATGATCTTGGGCTGATTATTTATAGATTGCCAGGGGTAGAGATGAAACTTAGGCCTCATGAGTCAAAACTAAGAGATCGTTTTATCTTTCAGATGTAAAAATGTTAAAACTCATTCATTTAGTACCGAGAGAAATGACATAGTGAGAGAAAGAGGTCTTTAGTGGCTCACATTTGAATCTTACCAGCTGTCAAAAACCCCAAGTCATCTTAACAAAGTGGCACATTCGTGTCTACCACACTCCTCACAACCTCCCAACAGCCCTGCAAGTACCACAGTGGACACAGACGTGCTTGCGGTTGCACGTTCTGCTAATGGTGTCAAGGGACCAGGCTCCTTATCAGACCTAAGTCACGGATCTTCCTCTGTGCCTCGTGCTGTAGAGAGCGGACACAGCTGGAGGGTAAGGAGATGCAGGCAGCGCACACAGCTCCTCCACCAAGGGCCTGCCAAACAAAACCAGGAGCTGTAGCCTGTTTCTAAATTGCTTGCATGCCAGGTAGAACCTAATTGAATTTAGTAGATAATAATCCTCTTAAAAGGCTTGTCTACATCAGTTTGTTCTAAGTGGAAAAGCTACCAGGTACCACAAAAGGATGGGAGGCTGTGGAGAAATGCATACAATTTTGTATAGGAAGTGGCATTTTTGTTCTGGTGGCAGGAACGATTCAGACTTGGGTGATAATGGGCCAAGTCTCAAGCTGTCAGGGTCTCAGGCTTGTGTCTGGTCAGATTTAACCATTGTAAACACAGGACTATTTCTTTTTTTGCTAACCCTACTGTCAAATGGTATTGTGAGTCTGCCTCCCTTCTATAGGTATAATTTCAAAACTTAGAGAGTGGCAAAAGGTGAAGGTATCAAAGGGACTTTAGACTCTCCTAGGAGTCATCAAACTGGCTTAGTGCCTGCCTCTCAGAAGGCAGAGAGAAACTGTGTTCCTATTGTGCTATGTTAGGAAAACCCTAAGGGTACTTTGTATGAAATTCTTCACAGTTGCAATGTCAAAGCAGTCATCTCTGTGCGATGCTGTGGGACTTGCTGCTAACCTGGCTTTTCAGAGGGCAGAGAATTGCTCGGCTGTGGCTGCAGCTCCATCACATTTGGGTCATACGGGGGTGAACATCTACCTTAAGTGTTACGTGCGTCTCAGCCCACCCTTCCAGCCTTCCTTTGCCTTCCACCCATAATACGTTAGTTCCTACTTACTATGGTCTAAGTCGCTTATTATGTTCTAAGTTCTTGCATAAGAACTTCCCTGTCATATTTCAAGGAGAACAGTCTTAAAAGTGACCCTGACTCCACTTCTTGCATTTATCACTGCTGACTGCATTGCTCTGCAGGTATTGCTGCTCCCTCCCACTGCTCCTTTTAGTCACTGTGTAATTTAGAGAGGGAAAACCAGTGTGATTTGGACTCTTTCTGAACACGCTGGTTTGTACAAGATGTAGAACACTTTTTATGTTGACTTTATTTACACATATAAATGCCCACAAGAAATGTTGAATATTCTTTTCCAGGGCAATTCCTTATGCCCTGTGCATCCAGGAAAGGAGAAGGAGCAGAGCTAGGAGACTGGCTTGAGTTGTTACCACATGAATGTAAGCTTGGTTATTTACCAAAACTGTCCAGAGTCTAAAACAGAKGGATTTTACCTCACACAGGCACAAGATCTGAAGAGCACACCTGGTTAATACAAAGCAGAGCAGGAGAGTGGAAGATAATTTAATCTGTTGCTATTCCCTTCATTTTCTTTTGCTCTCCATTTTTAAATTGCAGATGTGTGAGAGTGTAAGAAAACTGATTGAAATGCAACACAGTCCCCACCTCGCATCTCTGTGCCAGACAAGTGCTCCGCAGGCAGGCAGCTCTAATGGGATTGCTCTGAGGTGGAGGGGCCACCCACAATGTGGAAAGCTTTAATTTATTGCCGTGCCAGCCCCAGCTCTGCCCTGCCTGCTCAGACCGCCGGCCGAGCTGGCAGTTAGTGCCAGCTGAGACGCTGGTGCCTCGATAAGGGCATTTGCMAACTGTACCCACGGCTGTGCTCATGTTGGCCTGTTATTCAGGCTTGGTAGCTTGAGTGAGTGGGGTAAATACAGGGCTCAAGGCCACGTGTTTAGTTCCAGTGTTAGCATCTGTTGCCAGTTCTGGTTTGGCACAGATTTTGGCTTTGACTTTGGGACTGGTCTTGAGAAGTCATAGAGAGGTCTGGGATTCCCATATTCCGTCAGGGAAGCGGAAGCAGGAAAAGGGCAAATGGCAGTACCGATAGAAGCCCCTATTTTGTTGTACTTGATTAATGGCAACTAGTCCTAGGCTTAAGTCTGAGTTTTGGTTTATGAAGCATAAGCAAACATGGACCCAGGTTCCTGCAAGATTCTTGGAGGCACATGGAGGAGAGGAGGGCTGGAGCTAGTGGGGAAAAATAAAAYCTTTTGGGTTTTGTCGATGCTATTAGCTTTGATGAAGAGTATTTTTGCTGTGAGAAGAAGAAAAATCTATCAGAATACTGATGCCCAGCTGTGCTAGGTGTATTCCTAAGTGCATAAAGATGTACTRGCTGGATTTTCATACTCTAGGGGGATTAAGAGCTCAAAATCATTGAAATTCAGGAGAAGTCAGACATTTTGCTTCCTCAGAGATACAGACTGGAAATTTAGATCCCCTGGGACTACAGAAAGGGGAACTGATAGGTGTTAACTTTGACTGTTGACTTTGGCTCCCACCACTTCCAAGAAGATACCTTGTAGAGAGATGCCTTTCCAGCTGTGGCGTGGGGAGGCAGCCTGGGCGCTGCTCATGGTTTCTCTCAGCGTAGTTGTTGCCTATGCCTCGTGCCTCCCACGTGACTGATGTTTCCGCTGCCTGCTCCAGCGGACAGTGAAGCACTGTGGCTTCCTGGGCGCTGTGCAGGTGGTTTTCTGTGCTTTTACCATGTGTGCATTTATGTTTATGTCCGCTTTCTATTTACAAATCTCTCCTGTGCAGTTTTCTGCTTTGCATCCCTTTACCCTGAGTTTAAAGGCATTAGATTGGGTTTGATTTTGTTAGCTGCCTCCTGCTTGTTCCCACAAGGGTTATAGGGCACCACTGAAGCCACTGTGCTGTTCTGACATGGAGTCTTTTTAATGCTACTGTATAAAAACTAGAGTGTGTCACATTTAAGGTCTAGTCTTACAAGAGGTGCTTGGAAAAAAGAAAAAGAGGGCAAGAACAGTGTGATCCTTCCCCGGGTATAGCTTCCCAGCATCCAGCAGGTGATAATACAGTGCCTTCCTGAGCGCATCTGTATCTGTAATGTTTCATAGGCACTCACCAACATAATCCTCATGAATTAGTTTAATACCTTTTGAAGCGTTTAAGTTTTTGCTGCCTCTGACATCCTTTGACAAGTTCCTCACTGGGCAGTGAAGTTTCTAATACTTTGCACAAGTCTGTTGCATTTTCCTCTTCTAGAGGCCTTATATTTACCTTGTTCTGCAGGAGGATGTATCCACGCAGGAGCACGGTTGGTCCTGGGGGCTTACAGAGACATGGCAATGCACGGGAGCATCACATGTCTGCTGCAAAGGCCTCTCTCCACACAGTCTGCTCCGTGGTTCCTTCCCGCTGCGGTGTCCGTGCACAGGGTAGGCTGTCAGTGCGAGGCAGCTCTCCCTGCTGGCTCTGGAGCCAGGCTGTGGGGACAGGGCTGCCAGCAGCTGCACCCGTCTCTCCTGCGTATCCCCCATGTGCACCTTCAGCACCAGCACGAATAGATCCTATCTGCCAGGAAGCAAGTGCAACTTCTGCTTAAAAGCACTGCAATAGAGAACTCATTATTATTTCTTGCAGGTTTCTTCCATGTGCTCTGTTAATTAAAACCAGAAATGAAAACTCCATTAGCATACCTTTAAAAGCTGCTTTAAGTAGCCTGTGCTACTTTGCCTCACATCAAGTTTGAACAGCTAAAACATTATGTGCACATCTCCCTTACAGAGTCTAGTTATTACCAATGATCAAGTTCCTTTTAAGCAGCAAAAAGCTTTGTACGTGAATGTTATGCTATAATTTACTTTTTATCTATGTGTGTGTATATCTATTATTATTAGTGCAGACATCTAATGTGTGCAGAAAAACAAAGCAAAAAAGAAAAGTGCTTAGTTTTTTTTCATGGAACACCTTATGCTTGTTAAATTTACAGACTGATGTAAAAGATTCTGTGGAGACTGATGAGAAATCAATTTATTTGTAAAACAGCTCTTGCTGGTCAAAAACTATTTGGTTTCTGCATTTTTATTATGCTATTTTGTATATTTTCTACTATCATTAGTGTGATAGCTTCCTTGAAAACACTAATGTTGATGCTTAATGTTGCTTGTTACATTTTCTTTTTCTCAAGGTTACCATAACAAAAATTTAAATACAAAAAATACTCTTTTAGCTTAAAAAAAAAAAAAAAAAAAAAAAAAAAGGACTGAGAGAATTAGAGTTCAGGAGGAAAACAACTCTCAGCTTTACCCTCTCTGTGGCTTGTGCATGTAGGCAACACAAATACAGTACTAACAACAGAACCTCAGAGAGTTGCACTGATTCCTCCAAATCTCGTCTCAGAAATGAGTCCCACAGCTCCCTGTGAAGTAATTGGTCTAATTAGGTGGTAGGAAGGAGCTTCTTTAAATTCCTCAGAACTAAAGACGTGTCATCCGCTTAACATCTTAACATCTGTTACTGCCTCTTGCACATTTCTCCACTACAGCAGCCTGAAGGGCACTTTCTTAGTCCCTTCAGAGAAAATAAAATAAAACTCTTGGAACAAGAAGACCTTGGCCCCATCTGCTGTGGGATGAAGCATATAAGGCATTTCGTTCCCTCCTTATTCTTGAGTTTTGTGCACGTTTGCCTGGGTGAGTACAATAATCACTTTGTTAACTAAAATACAGGAGGATACAAGCATAACCTTAAATCCTGTAGTAATCCTAACTGACGTGGTAATGTGGTCCTGAAGYATTTTCCTTACAGAGTGATCCCTGTGCAAATGTTACCCTCTGTGTTTATATATTTTCAGCTTTGTTTCAAATGGGCTAATTTGAATCTCTAACAGTTAGTCAGTAGAATAACAACTAATTTGTTGTTTTTGTTTTTGTTTTTTTTTAACTTTGCTGTTGTCTGGCAGCAAGTAAGTAACGATTTAATTATGGCTAATTGCTCATGCACTAGGCATAATTTTAAGGCACAATATGTTTAGAACGTCGGGTCAGGTTGGCACTGGGGAAGTCTCAAACTCAGCGTGCATCGTAACACGCTGAAAAGGTTAATTTTGCAGTGAAGCTGCCTGGAGCTGAATGGTATTTCTTAGAGATATCCTGTTTGATGATGATTCCTTGTTTTTTACAATGACTCTCTACTTGCAGCTCTGTGAGTAGCAGAACGGTGGTGTGTACAAGTAATCCAATACAAATATCTGCACCTATATAATCCTGAAAGTCTCTTAGAGTGACTGGTGTGTTACTGCTCATGCTGTTCCCAAAACAGCCTACGTTTACTGAGAGGTAGCAAAGCCAAGTAACTGCCGTCTGTGAAATGCATTTCTTTGGCTTCTGTTTTGTTTTCCTTGCAGTTCAGGCAAATTATGCCCCCTATTTCTTTGATAATGGAGACAGAAGCACAAACGGCAACATGGCCCTTCTCAGCCTTTCGGAGGACACACCCGTTGGTTAGTATTAAAACTAGTATGTTTAGCTGAATAGAGAAGCCGAAGTCACTTGCTCTTTTAGCAAAGTGTATTTTGATGTGGGTGTTATTATATACTGTGGTCTTGTGTGTTTTGTTTATTTTTCTCATGCTTTTAATCACCCTCAACTTAAAATTACATATTCGAATTGTAGCTGTGGTGTAAAACATGTGTTTTAGCTTTCCCATTCTTGGTCCCCTAATTTATTTGCAGTACTGCAGTACAGAACTTTGGGATTAAAAATAWATTCATGGTGGGAAGGGATTTCTTACAAACACGGCAAATGGTTATGTGAAGAAAGCAAAGTTCCTAATAATTTTATCAGACTTTGTATCCCCAAAAGCATCTGTGTCTTGAAAAGTGAGCCAGGTTTTTCTTCATAAAGTTGTTATATTTCTCATGTTTGCAGTATAAATGGTGGAAAATGTTACCACTTGGAGTAAAAATTGCTTTCTCTAAATATCTAACCCCTTTAAAAAAGGTTTAGCTATACATTTTTCAATTTTCAAGTATCATAAGTGTAGCTTTGGAAGGGGTCTGTTTATTTTGCTGTTTTTTTAATGATTTAGTTGCACTAAGAAATGTTTAAATGAAATCAAAAAAAGACTGTTTGCAGCCATTATTCTCCATGGGAGGGCAAGGAGTGGAAACTATTTCTATACAAATTTAAATGTAAAATATTTTGCACTGTTGAACAGTGCCTTTTGCACACYCCAATGTGGTGCTGGGGTCTGGCTTTGGGATTTGCTCTGCTGAGGTGGCAGGGGACAAGCAGGGGGTGGTTTGGAAGCGGGCACGTAACGAACGAGGTTGCAGGCACCGAGGCTGAGGGGCAGCGACGGCGGCGCCCAGGGAGGCAGCGCAGACACGGTGGGCAGGAGGCAGCGGCTCGCCCTGCAGCTTTGGGAAGCTCCAGTGGACAGCTCGGCCGAGGGCCAAGGCCGGTGTCGTGGCACAGGCAGCCGGAGGCATGTGGGAAGCTGTGGCTTGCACCGTTCCTTGGCCCGCATTCGCGTGGAAACCGCTTGTGCTCGGCTTTTGTGCTCAGGAGAGCCRTGCTGATGGCTGCAGTAGGATTAGCCAGGGAAATCACTGATCTGACAGTGCAGGTGAGGCTTGTGGTGCTGGCAGTCCCTGACGCAAGGTGGGACCCTTGCAGCAGTTCATCCGAGGTGATACTCGCTGCTGCAGCTCGGAGCCGTGAAACTCGCCTGCATCGGCCAGACTCCTGCTGCCTGGCACTGACAGAGCATCAGCCTCTGCTCCGGGGCCTGGCCCATGAGCCCCCGCCCTACGTGGCACCGGGAGCCGGAGGTGCTGGGCAGTGTGTGGGAACCAGCRTGTGCGTCCCTACCAAGCAAGGTGGTGGTGTGGTGGAGTGTGCGTTAGTGCACCTCTAAGCAGCCTCAGCACGAACAGTGATCACATCAATATGTGATGATAGCACAGGCTTCTGTAACATCAGCAACCAGGCTCGGCGCGTAGCYGTCCCTGAAGAGTTGGTGCTTTGGTTGCTATCGTGATACAGCTCGAGCTGCTCAGCATTCAGTGCTGTTGTTTCTTATAGATGCTGGCTTCAGCCAGAATGGGTGTTTACCTGGCTGCTCTCTACCTCCRGTTTGTTGCATACATCTGCTCTGAAAGAGAAGTAACTTCTGGCCTAACTCTCCAGAGGTGCTGCCAGAAAGGTTTYTCTGAGGTTTAGGAGGTGCTGAGTTTAGGCTGGAACTTCACAAAGGGCCTAGAGAAACCCCTGGAGAGCTTGTGTTCTGAGAAATCTCARTGGGGTGGCCTTGCCACACCACTGCCAATTCTTCTTTGGTCTATAATTCCTAGGCCAAGATAACTAAAATCTGGGAGCTCTGCAAGGTCCTCTGCTCTGAAAGCACTTTGGGAAGTTCCCTCTCYGCTTCTGCTAGTAGCAGAATGAGGAACAGCTCAACAGCTCAGACTTAGCTGCAGCAGAGCCAGCAGAGCTGGGCCTCCTGCGGTGCCCTGAGGAGGCTCCCAGAGGAAGGCACTCAAGACATAGCAACCTCAATGGAAACGAAGACTTCCATGTGTTTGATTCTGGATGCCCTAACTCAGCATTGGTTCAGGCACTGCAAGAAATGGGCATGTAACCATTAGCTCTTCTCTGTGCTTAGATAAAACTGGGAATCAGAGTCAGATATTTTCCTTGGATGTGCTGCAGCAGCAGCCAAGGTCTGATCTAAGCAGTGCCACTAAGAGCAGCTTTAGTAAATCTCCAGGAATTTATYGTCTTTGGTCCTGCTGAGGTTATAAGCAGTTGCCAGTGTGGTGTTATGGGTTCCTAGTCATCTGTAGGCAGGGAACGTTCACTGAGAGAGGAGGGGATGGGCTGTGGGATTGTAAAAAGAGCAGCTGTAGCGCTACACCAGCAAGAATGAATCAAATTCAGGCAGAGTCTTGTGTCCCTAACTTGGTTCATCTTTTCACTTGTAGTATGCTGCCTTCACAAGTAGTGTTGAACTGTCATGGGAACACACCCAGTGACATGAGTTATCGTAAAGATGTCACGTGCCATTTCTGTGTAAATGTTTGAAGTTGTCTGCACATTTCCACGTCCTATTTAGATCCCAGAGCATGAGACCCTTTGAGATGAGAAGGGTCAGCAGAGCAGCAGCCCATCCCGGCCAGATTTAAGAAGAATGGGAAAAGTTGTGGACTGAAACACCAGCTGTGGTTTGTGGCTGTTGGGCAGGGCAGGTGGGGATATTTGGTGATTAGCTCTTCGCTAAGATCTGCTTGTGTACATACAAAATATACATGTGCCGCTAATCGAGGTCTTAGGGCATGTGCMGGATGCTATTTCAGGTTGTTTGCTTCATCCTACCTCATTAATCCTTGTAAGCTGTCACAGTGGGRCGCACTGAGAACAGCTGCAAAGCAAGAGAGTGAAGCACACTTGTAAGGCTGAGGTTCATTACTTTTTTAAAGTATCATCTGAGCTCTGGAGATCTCTGCATGTCTCTTGTCCTTGTGTTTTGCTTTCCATTTTGCTTCAAGTCTGTGCTCCCTCCCCAATTCCTCTCAAAGCTACAACTCCCAGGTACTTGTAGCGCACGATTCATGTTCTCCAGAAGCTCGAGATCCCCTTTGCTCAAGGTGAGCTTGCAGCGTGAGGCAGCAATCCATAGGCTTTGTGTGCATGGCTGTGCATTGCCTCTCCAAGGGAGGAAGGCAGCAGGCTAACAACCCCCAGGTAGCAGGCACTGTCGTGGCTTTGGGAACGGCGATGCTCGCACTCAAAGCGAGTCCACTCGGCATCTTCCTGGCAGATGTCTCCTGGGGTGGCAGAGGAGGAGCTCAGCATGACTCCAAAACGTGTTTGGTCTGTTTAACTTGGCAGCGAGGGGCCAGTTCCTGAGCGTCAGGCAGCAGTGAAGGAGAGTGTCTTCAGCCATGGTGGACACTGACTATGAATAAGTCTAGGTTGGAAATGCACTAAGATGGTGCAGTGCCGTCATGGGACAGCCATGCAGCCTAAGTGGCCGGCAAAGAGCAAGTGACTTTTAATCTGGAATAGAAAAACAAAGTGAAAGTCTAATGTGGCTCCTAGACCAAGCAGTAGCAGGGAGAAAAGTGCTGCTGCTCAGGAGTTTCCCTGGCCCCATCCTGCTGTGCCATCGCCAAGGTCCTTTATTTCCTTATCTTTCTTACAGGAGGAGGCTGTTTGCTGGGTACTCTCTGATAAGATTTTGGCTGGGTTTTCATGTATTTTCTTTTCAGCAAGTGGAGGCAGCGTACTGAGAGGAGATTTTTAATTGGCTTTAACACTGTGCTGAGAAGTGTTCCCATGGTGTTAATAATATGGGGAGTATTTTAAACTGAAATTACAATTCTGTCAAAATTAGGAACTCTGATAGCACTAGGAGAGATATTTTGATCAACAGTCTGGATTTAATAGGCACAAAAATGTGCAATACAAAAAAAGAGAGCAGTGTCAGCCATATCTAGAAAACAAGGAGTACACTAAGGGATGAATGAGTACAGGGGGGATCRGTGATGCTCTCTCCATTATTTCCTCAGAAATCTCAGTGAACTCAGTATGTGCCAACACCAATGTTTCATCTTACTTTTGGAAACAATAAAATTATTGTTTTCCTTATAGGAAAACTCCTATAAAATGTAGGAGAGAAAACTGTAAGAATAAGGTTAGAGTAAGTGCAGGTTCAAATGTATATACCTAAACCTTTGTAATCTGGTCTGCTGTAGCACATGCCCCCTGATTTCTGAGGGCTGTTTTGTAGTTCTTGGAATACCAGAATTTATTAGTTTTGGGGTAGCCCCAGTCACAGGACTGGAACTTGGGCCTGGCCATCACTGGCATCCTGTGAAAACTTTGGATACGGGATCACAGCACCCGTCCCGTTTCAGTGGAAGATGAGAGGCGAGACAGAATAATGGCTCCACACTTGTAGAAACTTTCTAAATTTCTCAGAAGGGGTTCTGCCATGGTTTCTTTGTGTCCTGTATAAAAGCAGGGTTCAATACTAACTAGTCAGTAGCTTATTTGCAGTGATGTGCTGTGGTCAAGTTACCTGCAGTAACTCAGGTTACTCTCAGGTGACTTACTGAGGCAACCCAGATCGCTGTGGTGTGGAAGAAAAAAATAGCACTTTTATATTTCAGACACAGTTAACTGATTCTTGTAAAGTGCTTGAGGTTATTTGGATAAAGATATTAATGCACAGCAAAATGATAGACATGTGAGTTGAAAAAAATAAACTCTCACCATGTTCTCCCCCAGGACATATCACTTCTGATGAACAAAAACGTTTTACTGCACAAGCTGGCACCAACTTCTCAAATGTTTAAAAATGGAAATAGCAAATCTCCTTTTTTGCCAGCTTGTGAAAGAAATACATTGATGAGCTTAGAGAATTTATTCATTGGTATGTGCATGAGTGGGTGTGTTAAGCTGGGAATTTAATAGGGTGGGGGGAGCTAAGTATGAAGAAAGACTCCTGCATCTGTTTAGTTCTGCAATTGGAAGAGTCTGCAAGTGTCCTTGTATCTTCTGATCTTCAGAGCTGGCACTCAGCCCTGTGGGAGTTTGATTCACAGAAGCTTTGCCTGCCACAGAGGGGCTAAATTACCAAGGAAGAGATGAGGGCAAAAAATCACTTTCTGAAGCAAGCAAGCACAAGGAAATGTTGTTGATGGCTCCAATTTTTCAGGCACCCACGTGTACACTCTGAATGGAACTGACCCAGAAGGAGATCCCGTGACATATGGCCTGGCCTATGAAGCTGGATCAAGGCGCTACTTCTCTGTTGACGAGTACCTTGGAAACGTTACGCTGGTTGAGGAGCTTGACAGAGAGGTAGAGTACAATGAAATGAAATATCCTTGAGTCCTTGGTTTGATCAATGATTTTGAGGAACAGTCAGCTTTTTTTTCCCTGACACATATAATTCAATTTGCAGTTGGAGACATTATATTTCACCCATCACATTCTTTTCTAGCTCACTTGCACCACTGACTTTATTACTGAATTTTGAGAGTCTGTCTGTTCAGCATTTGCCAAAATAGAAATTTACTCTTTATGTCTGTTTTTCCTCCCCCATACCTCACTTCCCCCAGTCAAGAGCTATTAAAATTCTGTAGGAGGATTAAGTTGCTCTCAGAGCAACTGTCTCTTGCCAATGGCCACAGGCAGTCCAAGAAGCCCTCTAACAATCTGGTGTGGAGCATGTGAAGGGGCTTTCTTACCACTGCTGTGATGGTTTTGCAGTATTAGCTGTTACATTGCTGCATCCACTGAGACCTGTTTAAATCTGTAGACCCTGCTTGAATCAGCAAAAACAACCAACCCTTTAACAAAGAAATTTTCTTCGTTTGCAGAAGGAAGATGAGATTGAAGTTATAGTCAGTATTTCCGATGGCCTGAGCACAGTAAGTATTTCCTTATGCCACAGCTTGTCAAATTGTCACCCCCTGCACTTCTTCCCTCTTAAACTACTTTTCAGGGAATATCTCATTTTATCAGAAAGCAGTTTCATTAGACTCCCACCTTCTGTTTCAAGAGCCACTGAACTCCCAGTATTACAGGTCTCATTCCAGCTCCCCGCTCCTCTATTTGAGGATAATTAGAACTGCAGGGTGAGCTGAAAGCCTGACTCGGTGGCCTACAAAATAATAACAGCTGCCTATGACATTTTGCTGTCTGCTCAGTAGGATTCACACCTAAGAAAGAGCGGGAGGCCTTTTGAAGGCATTATAGGAGCTAGTGTTGGACACCCAAGGGCTGATTTCCTCCCCCGTGCTCCCTAGCACCGCGTTAAGCTGTGCTTATGCTAAGGTGGTGAGGTGGTGGGGTTTTTCTTATCTGCTGTCAAATAAAGCTTTGATCACTTCTAATCATTCAGAGCTTATCTGGGGCACTGCAGTAACGTCTGATCCTAGTTCTACATTTTTTCCCTGGCATTTGCCATTTACAAACAGATGCTGTCACAGTCAGGATCTCAGTCTGCCAAGGGGATGTGGGCCTTATCACTAGAGGTGCCACAAAAGTGGGCCCCTCTTACTAGCCACAAGACTGTAATTATACAAAGCACTTCCTCATGTCAAACTAATATAGTGAGATTACTACTACATCGAATGTTTGGGAAGCAGCCAGGTCTTACAGACCCAGCTGCCCTGGCAATCTCTGTAAATAAAAGAATTAGTRAGATCACATCCACATCTCCACCTTGTAAACAGCTGTGCTTTAGTTGGTCAAAGACATTTGCTTCTGTATTTTTTTTAGATAACAGAGGCGACTTTATGTTGTTTTTGAATATTAATAAATGTGTGTATTTGTACATCCAAATTATGTACACTATCAACATTGTGATATCAAATGAGGCATTAATGAATGCTTTTGGCAGTTTGTTATYAATTTCTACACAGTCATTTATGTACTCCCATAAAATATATCACGGCATCTTGACTGCCATAAAGAAAGCCACTTTTGAAAATCACATCCTAATCTGTAATTTATAAAGTACTCTTAGAGTCTTTGTTTCATTTAGAGACATCTCTGTGTTCTGCTTGAAATCGATTCTTGTGGATGATGTGATTTTCCTGCATTTTCTTTGTCACACTCAGTCTTGGTAGTGCACAATCTTCCATTGCCTTTGAATACACTTCAGTAGGYAAATGAATGTTTGTATGTTGTAAATCACTTTGATTTTTAATGTATTCTTCATATTCCACTTCAGGTTTCTGAAAAAGTCAGGATCCTTGTAACAGATGCTAATGATGAGAGCCCAGAGTTCATCAATACACCTTACATAGTCCAAGTCCCAGAGGTTAGTTTCTATTTTGTTTTGGTGTTTTGTCTGCTAAAAGTATATTTCAGTAGAGTTGTAAAGAGGAACTTGATGTTTTCAGTAAAGCAACGAGATTTGCAGGATTACTTGCAGTCTTTTGTTTCAGAGTTTGGGGTAGGTATTTAACATTCAGTGATCGTTTAGAGACCAAGCCTGGTGGGGACCAGCTGTTTTCTCTAGGTGTGCTCCTTTGTGGGTAAGCACCAAGGCGTGTCTCAGTCCAGTTTTTAGATCTGACTTTGGTGGGAATAGGGTGCACTTTGTCCTCTTACTTACATTCCAACATTTTTTTTTCTCTTATCTTCTTCTTGCTCTCCAGTTTCCTCCATTTTAAGTCTCTCCTCTATTTTCTTTCTGCTTTTTGGTTCCTTCACTCATTTGTATTCTTTCTACCCTTACTCCCCTTTTCTTCCCACTTGCATGTCYGTTCTCATTTCTTTCAACTTGCATTGCTTTTCTGATTCTTTCTGACTCTGGTAACTCTTTCTGGTCACAGAATACCCCCTCAGGCAGCAGCATATTTAAGATCGAGGCGGTAGACAGAGACACAGGTTCTGGAGGAAGTATCACCTACTTCTTGCAGGTAAGGTGTTATCTGTGCATTCAGAAGTACTCAAAACACGTTTTGAGGATTAAGCCTCCTAGTAGTGTCTGCAGATTTTGCATGGTGCATGAGGGAACAGGCTCTGGCTTCCTTGACTGCAGTAGCTGAGCACAGTCCAGAGGGAAGAGGCTGGAATTGCCACCAGCATCCTTGTGGTTGCCAGCAGGACTCCTTGCAGCAGGATTCCTATTGGCCCCTTTTTTGGCATGACACCTCTTAGAGATGGGGACAGTAAGTGTATCAAAGTCTGGCTTGTAATCTTGTACATGTATGGGATTTTTAAAGCATGAAATAGCTTTTCTTGGAAAACTGTGCTTTGGAAACCCAAATCTGCATTTGGTTGTAGCTGGCTGGGGTGTGACTGAGGTTCTGGATCACAGTGCAATACTTGGAGTACTAATGCTGCTCACCTCAGGACAAAGGTGTGCCTGCTTGGAACCAGCCTTTCAGATGTATCCTACTGGTGAAGGACGGGAAAGGGCTTCATCTTTAAAACTGAATTTTATTTATTTAAATATTTAGTTATTACAGACCTTCTGTATGCCAGAGTGCAGTGTTTCGCATAACGCCTTTTAAATTTCTCCCTCTTACAACCAGCTTCTCCAGATTTGCTGCAGTTTCTGTCATTCAAGARGCAATATAAAAAAATCTAAACACATGTGTTGCAATATTTACTTTGGTACAAAAATGGAAACAAGCTCAAAAATACTTAGATAGTGCTAAAGCCAATTCTGTTATGAGCATACTAGGAAGAACACCTTGAATACCTTAAGGAAATTTAGTTTGTATTTGACCAGTTATCCTTTCAAAATACAATTTGTACAAGGTTCAATTTTGCACATTTTTCCAGTAAGCTGATAGAATATGAAGCTAAGGAACATTTATTTCCAACATCTACATCTAGCTGGTATGTTTGTGTAGCCAAAATATTGCTTAATATGTTAATTTGTTAAAGAGATGTTGCCACATTTTTTGGCACAGTCTCTGAGAATTTTTAAGGTATACAGAAGTGTCTTGTGTGGGCAGGTAGTGGTGTCTACCCAGAAAGGCCAAGATTATCTGATAGAAACTATTGCAAATGCTTGTCCATACTGAGAAARGTAAACAGATACCTCCAGTCAGGAAGAAGGGAGAGAAATATTTTTTGCCTCTATTGGAAATAAGATATCATTTAGGTCCTTCATCTTGGACACCCAGAAAAACCATTAAAATGTCACTGTAAAAGTCTTTGACAATAATCTATGCAGGCAGCACTGCTGGTCTTTTTTAAAGCCAGTTAAAATTGGAAGAGCTTAGGGATAACACCTTTTCTCTTCTTCCTTTTTCTCCCATCATCTTTTTTCTGTTAAGCCTTACCATTTAATTCTAAGCAATGACCTGTACTAACCAAATTTTAGGATTTCACAATGAAATGCTAAAAGATTCAAAAAATCTATATTGGAACTTAGTGATTTATTTGAATAATGAGACRCTTGTGATTGGTTCATGAATTGTTCATAAACACACAGAGGTGAAATTCATCAAATGCATTATTCACCCAAACTGTATCATTATTCTAGTCTTTTGCCTTAGCAGATGAACTAAAAGATGAATCTCTACAGCAGTCTTATTTCCATTCTTATAATCTTCCACTGCTTCTCCTGTCTTGTCTTCTAGRACATCCATGCTAATAAGTTTACAATAGACCGTCACAGTGGTGTTCTGCGCATCAAAACGGGGGTCACCCTGGATTATGAAAAATCAAGAACCCATTTTGTCATCGTTGTGGCCAAGGTATCGAGCTTCTCTTTTGAAATGTGAGGAGAACCAGGGTTGTATTYGAGTAGGCTAGCATAGGTCAAGTAGAAAGAGAGTGACTCACAGCGTTACTGAAAGAAAGCTYGGCTTTGGAGCAGGATCAGCCTCTAGCACACTTGGAGATATGGCAGGAAACATGAAAAAATGAGTGAGGAGAGGTGACTCATGTCTATCAGGAGGGAAAGTACAACTCCCATGTATGTGCAGGAGTGAGTTTTCCACTTTTAGCGAGGCCCAGGGCTGGGATGTTGAGTCCCTCTGCAGAAATGTTCAYGCATGTGGCAAGAAGGGAAAGGAAGGTTTATGCAGCCTCACCGTTTGGAAACGTCAGTCTCAGAATGCAACTGCAGGAGCCCAGGCTCCCCACGCTGTGGGGGATGGCCCAGCTCAGTTATGGCAAACCAGTAGCAGCAGCTTGGCTCGATGGCAGTGTACAGCTGCAGTCAGACAGCCAGGAGGGTCACACTCATTTTCTGGATACATCTGTGGATGTTTCTTTCCTTCACTTCTCTGCCTGCCTTATGGCAGAAATTTACTCAAATAATTTGAATATTGCTGAATTCCTTGCCAATATAACCCTCAGCCATGCTGAAGAATTTTAACAGGCTTTAAAAGTTTATGGATTCTGAAATAAAGTCTCTCAGGGTTCTCTGGGGGTCTCCTGTATAGGCAGCACATACAGTGGAAAGAGGATGATTTTGCTGATCTTTTTGCAGCTTTTCTGGGTTTCTTGTGTTTTAGGAAAAGTGTGTGGATTATTTTATGTATTTATTTAGCCAGGTTTAATCTGAGAAGCAGCAGCAAAATGTGGATTAGTGCTGTGTTTGCTACAGTAAGGATGAAAAACCTGAGCGTGTCTCTTCAAAAAGAAGGGATTTTTAGAACTGCTACAGTAGACACACTAAACAATTCATGTTCTCTCATATAGCAGCATAACTACTGACCTTCAGCCTGCGTTCGGAGACTGAAGATGTTAAAAGCTTCTGAAATTGTGAATCATCTCTCTAATTGGCTCTGCTGTAATAGTAGCATGAACAGATTTGATTGCAGTAAAGTCCCCAGAGACTGTTTATACACTGTGGTTACCTAACAGCTTCTGGCTTTGTGCTCCTCCTTGCTTACACTTACATCATGAAAGAGTCCCTAGGAGACTTCGATAACATGCACTGTGTAATTTTCCCCTGGAAATGCATTGCTAAATCATCTTGGTGTTCTTATGGCAAGCCTGTATGGGGGATGGAAGCTCCTGGGCCTTTGTGGCTAACTTTTTGCATCTCCTTCTAGCATTCTTTCTTGCAAAAATCTTGAATCCCCTGTCCCATATGTCACTGATAGATGCAGCTGTATATAATCTGGTATCTGTACAGCCAATTTTAATGTAAGAAATGACTCATGAGATATTGAGGGGCCTTTGCTTAGTCAGAGAGGGATTAATGGAAATAGAAGGACTAATGGAAAAGAGAAGGAATAGGACAGTAAAGATGAATGTGTTGAGAGAGATAAGTAATTCCTGGATTGCAGCTGGCGAAGGCTTATGAAATGTGTGCAAGGCTGTTAAGTGATTTGCAGACATGCTTCAGCAGAGGTATCTGGTGATGACTTCTCTTCTAGGATGGCGGTGGGAAGCTCAGGGGAGACAACAAAGTGTTTTCAGCCACAACAACAATTACTGTCAATGTGGAAGACGTTCAGGACACTCCTCCCATGTTCATCGGGACTCCCTACTATGGATATGTTTATGAAGATACCCTCGCAGTAAGTGCTGTTTTTCACCTGTGGGAGAACATGTACAGTCTTTCGTATGTTGGTCACGAAGCAGAGTTTATGGCAACAGCTTTATTAATAATGGAAACCGGGACCTAAACTCTGCTAGGAGAAATGAGCTGAGCAAATTCTTATTTATGTCTTTTGCAGATTCACCAAATTCACCATGTAATTCTTGCTGCTGCTGTCATTAAAGACAAAAAAAAATTTGCCCCTCCATGTTGCCTTAGACCTAGACAATAACTAAGAGCTCTTCAGCTGCTGAGACCTGAGAGCTTAAACAGATTATTGGTTACCTCACCTGAACCCGAACACAACTTGTCAGTCTTGTTGTAAGACTGTGTGTATGCCTGTAGTATGTGGTCTGATGGTGCTTCAGTTTCTGAGGTAATGAGTTGTGCAAGGTATGAGCCAAAGAAGAGTTCCTGATTTCTGTCCTGTTGCTCAAATGCTGTAGACTCCATATGTCATTCCTTTGGAATCGCTTGGGGAGTTGCAGTCCTGCCATCCCTATAATGCAGGATGCTTTTTGCTCAATGGTGGCCAGATAGACCAAAGGGTCCAACAAGTCCTCACGGGCCAAAAGCTCAGCAGTGTCAAGCCACGTGTTTGTGAGTGGGGTCAGTGAATCTGTCTGCATGTGTCTGCTGCTGAAGGAAGAACATTTCTCTGTTACAAAGAATCCAAATAGGACACCTAGGACCTGGTTGTGGGAGATTTGCCCCAATATAAAGCTTATCAAACACTTTATCATCTCCAGCATGCATCATGTGGCTTCCAGCAACACAGAATTTGTGATGCTTCAAAGCAAAGAATTTTCTCTGTATACAACCAGCATTCACCCAATTACATAGATTTAACTAACAATTTCTTCATAGGCAGGATAAGAATTAGTACCTATTTATAAAATTATCCAACCTTAAACTGTGGATCTTTTTGGCAATGTAACTGCATGCTGAAGTCTCAAGTTTCAGGAAAGATTGTGACTTTACTTTCTGTTCATAACCCCCATGGATCCTGTAGCTCTTGCATAACAGTATATTGCAGTTCCATGCATAGATGGTTCCTTTTCACCGTGGCAGAGGAGTGATGCTTGCTTATTTTGCAGATGTTTGGAATTAACGTTATTATGTGTATTGATTTACTCTCCATAGTTACGTATAGATCTCAAAATAACCATCAGGTATGCACAGGAGTTAGTGTTTACCAAGGAAATCAGAAGTCAGTAAATACTAACTGCATCCAGCCCGAGCTCACAGCTTGCACTGTTACAATATCCATGTTACGTTTCCATCTCCACGTGAGGAAGAACGTCATTACTGTGAGGGTGACGGAGCCCTGGAACAGGCTGCCCAAGGAGGTTGTGGAGTCTCCTTCTCTGGAGGTCTTCCAAACCCGCCTCGATGCCCCCTGTGCSACGTGCTCTGGGTGTCCCTGCTGGAGCAGGGGGGTTGGACTAGATGATGTCTAGAGATCCCTTCCAGCCTCAACCATTCTGTCRTTSTGTGATATTACAGTGGTGGGAGCACAACCCAAGGCCTGGTTCAGAGGCTTCCCTGCCGCTGGCAAGAGAGAGGAGGTCTTGCAAGACAAGACAAGCCTGAAGGAAAGGGGATTGTCTGTTTCTTTCCTAAGAAAAGAGAAATCCCACTGTTAAGTGAATGAAACACTTGTCTGAAGATAGGAGAAATAGCAGTGGCATTTCTAGATAAGGTTTAAAGAGGTCCTTGACCCAGACTGCTGGGCTTTGGGTGGAAATCTCTGTTCACCTCTGRGTATTATAAATGCTTCTGTCTTGGCAGCGAACCAAGCTAAACCTCAGGTCACRGATTAGTGTATCTCAATCCCCTCTCCAAATCCGAGGCTCGCGCTGGGTTGCTGTGCCGCCAGTGCCTTGTGCCCCCCCAGCTGGCCCTCCTGGGGAGGGACGAGCTGCAAAGCAGGGCAGCGGGGGCAGCCAGGCTTTGCGGGCAGGCGGAGGCGGCGCCGTGAGGCGGGGGGCTCCTGTGTGCCGCACACGGCAGCGTGGCACCGACGGTGCGTGCCGCAGCAGCAGCCTTCATCCCGCTTGGTGAGGAGGTAGAGCACACAGGCCGCAGCATTGCTGAAAGCAACCAAAGTCAGCAATGTAGAGAGGAGACAGCACTCACCCAAGGAGCAGCTGCCAGGGGTTCGCCAGCACAGCAGCCTGCTGCGTACCAGCTCGCTGTTAGGCACCTCTTGTGTTAGTCAGTCTAGGATCTGGCGTGGTGCTGGGGGGCTACTGCATAAAGCCGGGAAAAATCACAGAAGAATATTAGCAAAAAAAACCTTCAGCAACCCCAGGAGAGCCCCCATTCCTGTCTCCCAAGGAGGGCAACAAGGACTTGTCTGATTTAATTGCCAGGTAACCAGCCTGTCTTCCTGGCAGGAATTGTCCAATCATCAATTCTGCTTCCCAATGAGGCATAACAGAGCATATAGGTACAGGCAGCTTCTGTGTACAAAATATGATGCTGTTAGCCTGAGCCTCCTGCCACAGCTGGAGAAACTAGCTCAGCACCACAGCAGAAGTCTGATAGAGAGAAAGAGGAAAGCGGAGGCCAGAAGGCACCAGACCCTCCTTGTCTGGAGGGTGTCCAGCTTCAGCAGCCAAACCACCTGCCTTGCAAAGCCAAGCTCTGATTTTTCTGGCTGACAGTCAAGGACTTTTGCAGCGTTTGCCCTGCAGCCAGAGCAGAGGTACCCACTCTTTCCCCCACACCTCGCCAGGAAAGACTTTCTGAAGTTATATTTATTAATACACAGTGGCAATTTCATTGCCATTTTATCTTACTCACAGACTGTAATTCCCCATTTCTCCCCAGGGCTCYGAGGTACTTACTGTGGTTGCTCTTGATGGAGACAGAGGAAAGCCTAACAGCATTCGTTACTGCATCGTGAATGGTGAGTAGACTTGGCTTGCCTGAATCTGAGGGGAAGTCGAAACTAGATGTGACATTAAATTAGGATGGAATGTACTAGAGTTTAATAAAGCTGAGGCAAGCTCTCATGAAAAAGTGTCAGGTGCCTGAAACAACTCCAGGGCCCTGTCTACCAGAAAATAGTCAAGATACGATTCACTGCGTTTCGCTATCTGCTTCATGGAGGTATGCTATTCATCTTGGAATTGTTAATGTTGCTTATTTGTTAAGCATCAGTAGCCTGCTTGTCATTTTAGAAAATGTAAAAGGAGATGCATTTGCTGTCACCAAGTGTCTCTATCATTTAATTTAAAAACGAAACTGCATTTAGGGACCCAGATGTAGTATTTAGAGGGATGTTTTATTTAATATCGTGGTTAAAGTGGCTAAATGGTCAAACCTCTGGTTTCTTGGAAGTAGTGATATTTATCAGTGAAGAGAGCATGGCTGTCCACTGCAGTGAGAGAAAATAGATGCTTAATAATAAGAAGATTAATATTTTCCATGAGCTATTCTGACGTCTTTAGCACATCTTTTAATAGCATAAACGTGAGGCTTAAATTAATGAGTTGTTAGCCAGTCAAGTGAACAACTTAGTTTCAGACACAACTTTGAGTTTGGTTCTCTTTTTTTCCAAAACAAGTTTTAGGGGCAACCCCATCTCCCAGATAGGAGAGAGCCTAAAATTCTGTAAGAGAAAGTTGAGGTTTAATTGCAGAGCTTTGCAGCAAGTTCTTCACAGCTATCTGATCTAAACAGCAAGGTCTGGAGAGGTTCTCTCCAGAAATCTCTCTCCAGGATCTGGAGGTTGTTGCTCAGGTTTTCCCTTTAGTTAGGATGGAGCGTGTAGCACGGTTCCTTCTCTGATGCATGGGAAGAAGAGAGTAAAAGAAAGAAGAGGGCTTAAAAGGGCTTAAGAAGAGGGCCTTAAAAGAAGGATGAAACATTGAGGAAAAAAAGATTGCAGAAGAGTAGATGGGGAAAAAAAAGAAAAGATGGAGAATAAGAAGCAGAAACTAAAAAGTGGGGCTAGAAGATGGTAGACAAGGAAGGAAATTGAGGGAGAGACTAAGCAGAGGCAAATGAAACATGGAAAGTGTCCAAGAGAATTAGAATTAATGAGAAGAAAGGGTAGATTTCCCAAGAAACTGGAAGTGGAACAGAAAGGGGCTATGGGGGAAAAATGGGCTAGAAGTGGGAAGAAATTTGGAAAGAGTGAGGGATAGAAGGGGATCATAGAATGCCATAAAATGTGACTTCTTGGGAGTGGGTTTTCCTTGTTTCTGTTCACCCAGGATCCTGGTTGCAGGAAACGAAAGTGAAAGGGAGGGAAGGGGAAATGCTTTAGTACACAGTGTTACAGAAACAGGGAAGAATCAGATCAGGAAGAGACCTTTGTGGCAGATTTCTGCCCCTGCTCTGCAGACCGTACTCATTACAGATGGTTATATCAATACTGGTAGGCTGGGCTGCAAAAGGCAGGACAATGCTAACAGCAAATAAGGAAGTATTTATTCTTTATAAGCAGTTTTGATGCTGGGAAGTAAGGGATTTTTTCAGAAAATACTCGAATCCTCTGAACGTTCTGTTCTAGGGAAGACGCATAATGGTACATACTCAAAGTTACCAATTTCCCTGTAGTAATTAGACAAAACCATGAAGCATTGTTGCTTGAAACCACTATTGACTTTAGCTTTTTCCTCACTCAAGAGGTACTTTCCAGGCCAATGTATCTTAATAATTGACTACCACATGAGTCAATACCTATTCAGCATTGTGCCTAGCGTTCTTTAATGAAGTTGCAGTTAAGTGCAGATATTAGTAAAAGGGGACAATGCTGGATGGTTTAATAATTAGCACTGAAGTTGAGATAGAGGAAAAAAAGTGTCAGGGCTTTCATGCYATCCTACTCTATTTCAGAAAGAGCGTTCTCCTGCATTTTAGGGTCTCCCCTKTCCTTTCTCCTACTTCAGCAGCAGGCCTTGCAGCACACACAGGGTCTGAGCCAAGGCCTTGTGCTCGTGTAGGTCCCGGAGCTCCCAAGGCACCATCCATCACTGCAGCTGACAGGAGCAGGGTCCAGCATCATGCTGAGACACCCCTGGCCCCAGGGCAGCTCTGCAGCCCTTGCTGGTTCCCCACACAGATTCTGGAAGTTGGACAGGGGACGAGTGCCAGCAGACAGCCCTGCCCTGCCTGCAGAGCAGACCTGCATGCACAAGGCAGGGGGTTCACCCCAGATCCTCCAAAATCCCTTCGTGTTCAGGGCAGCCTAGCAGGAGGCTGAGAGTTTATTAGCAACTGAACTGAACTGAGGCTTCTAGAGGGGCTGCCGGCACAAAGAGTGACTCTGTTTCTTTTAAGTACATGTCAGACTTCTCACCTTAGCTGATATTAGTGAGAGAAATGTTCCTGTTTTCTCAGAGACTTAATTAGGCATTTGCTAATTAAAATGAAAAGTGACTATTTGTACCTGAAACAGTGCATAAAGAAGACAACATAATGGAAATGAGGACAAAATTTGCATGTGCAGCCTCAGAAGTATAAGGGCATGAGGCTGCGGTGGGGGAGAGGAAAGCAAGTGCAGCTCTTGGCAGGTCAGGGCTCCCCCAAACCATGACCTGGAGAGGAAACTCCACCTTCCATTCCTTTGCACATTCAGCATGCCGTGACCAAGCAGGGAAGCACCTCATTTTTGAAAAATGGCTGCAGATCTGCATGTGAATAGAGACATATATAGACATAGATATGTGTAGTGAAGTGTATGTCTGATTGCTCATGGCATTTCAGGACACGGGAAAAGGCATGTAATGAGAACATCTTGGTTTTGTTACAGGAAGCGAAGGTTCATTTGAAATCAGCAACACAACTGGAGCTATTTCTGTTATAAAAAGCCCAAATCAGCTTAAGAAAGAAGTCTATGAACTAAAGGTTCAGGTATGTTTTGTGACCGCTTGAAAGCTGATGTTCCTAAATACTGTGATTAGTCATGATTGTCTAAACTCAATTTATGTCACAATCTTTTAAAGTGTTACCTCAYATATTTGATCAGACTGCCAACTAGTGTAAGTCAGAGCGAGCTGCTCTTGTTTTCTGGGATATTTAGAATGTCTCCATTTTCTGCTTTCAAACGAAGTTGCCTTGTCATAATTTTATCCCTGAGGCTAGAGAATTAATATCCTGTCCATCTTTGTGCTCTGTGTTTTAAAATTTTGTTAGTGGACTGGTAACCAGTGATTTCTAGTGCTGAGATAGGTGAGTATTAATCTATGAGTACAAGCAAGCCTGGGGTAGATCATGCTATCATATTAATACCCATCCTGAAACACAGATCAGCCATATAAAAAGACATGTTTACACTTTGATGAGTTAATATTGCTACATTATTTTAAGCAGGTTCTAAAGGCCAAGAGTTCAAAATGCAGAGTTAAATAGTGAGAATTGTATTTGTTTTCCTCAGGCAAAAGCAGATTACAACCATAAGAATTTGCCCAGGTAAGGCCTCAGTTGTCTGCAGACAGCTTTGTGTCCTGGCCCACTGCTAGAGGCAGTGCAGCATCCCCAGAGCRCTTGCTCAGTGGTGGGCTTGAGTAGCATGTTGAACTGGAAGATTGTAAGGTCTGACTCGGGCACTGTTCCTTTCTCTAATCTCTCAGGTTTCCAACAGCCTGTTAGTGCTTCACAGGTACAGGATTAATCAGGTTCTGCTACTTCTGAGCACAGTTGCGGCAACCCAAAGCTCAGTGCGGGCTACCCAACCTCCCCGAGAAACCAAGCGGGTGTTGCACTACCCAGCATGGGTCCCACCAGGTGCCTCAGCTGCAGCACTGAATTTGGCACTGCTGTAAAAAGAAAAGGCTCATCAGAGATATTTAAGTATCTGTTGTCTTTGGTTTTGAGCACTTTTAAGCACAAAGGCTTCTGCTATAAACACCTGCTGCAAACACAAATCAGAGTTTCTGTCCTGATAGAAAAAGGATCTTAGGTTCAATCCAGTGAACCAGGTTGCATGTTGGGATTTTTGAAAATTAGGCAGATTTGATTGTTATATTGCAATATTAGAATTATCTAAAGAGAACTGTTATCACTCTCAGATTGAAGTACTAAGCTCATAAAAATCAGGAGAACTTTCTTATCAGAGCTGCTTTTTTTTGGAACTTTTTATTACCATAATCTTCTAATCAGCATAAACACAAAGGGGAAATGGACTGAGTTTTCTAGACTAATGAAAGACTCTGTGTCTTTGTGTACAAAGCTGGTGAGTTAGGTTGATTAGAACAATACCTGGACATGGAACTGAAGAAATATCTAAGTGAGATTAGAAATTCTTTCATCGTTTTTCTCTCTCTCCTCCCTCCACAGGCATCAGAAGTCAGTCAGGAAGGTGGCATCTCAGACAATGCTTTTGCTGCCGTGACTATACGGGTCGTTGACCTCAACAACCATCCACCAACGTTCTATGGAGAAAATGGTCCCCAAAACCGATTTGAACTGACCATGTATGAGCATCCCCCAGAGGGAGAAATCTTGAGGGGCCTGAAGATCACAGTCAATGATTCAGATCAGGTCAGTGGAAACTATGGGGACTTTGAGTTTTCTGCCCTTTTTTCTCCAAAGACAGGAAGCAGCTGCCAGATTGGCAGATGACATTTTAGGAACCCAACCATTGCACCTGCTCTCCCAAGCAGCCAAGAGAGTAGGTAGTTGTGAGGTCCATTACCATGGATAGTATGGACGCAGAAGCATATTTAGCCTGGCACGTGCTCTTGTTTATGCTAGCATGATTGCCCATGAAAAGAGTGGTCCTAAACCTGTAGTCCAGCTCTTGTGGCCACTAAAGGTCAAGAATCCTTATCTACCTCTGCTTTTTCTGTTGGCTCTGTTCAGTAGTTGTTAGTGTAGTGACTGAAAACTTACTGTCTTTGAACATTTACTTAGTTCTTCAAACACTTCAGTAACTTCAAGTGCAATTGCTGTCTATATCTGCCTGGACCCCTCTGGAAAAAATATAGTCTGTACCCTGACATTGTCTTTATTACAAAATACTATCCTTCTGGCCCTTATTTTAGAGCCAGAGTCTGCAGTCTATGCTTTGATAAATAATTCCCTCTGGAGTGATATTTTTAAGTAATCTTAAAATTATGCTGGAGGAGAACTAACTATAACCAGATGAAAGAAAAGAATGGAGGACTCCATTCATCTCAGCCTGATACCTAGCTGACCTGTGATGCCTGCAGATACTATGGTGATAGTTGCTATAGGGATCCCTAGGCTAAATACTATATAAATGGCATCCATCTGAGTTAGCCTGAGGTTAGGGAGTGACAAGAGAAAGCTTAATGCATCTGAGAACTGTATTACTATTGGGAAGAGTGCTCTTATATAACCATGCTCAATATTGTGCTGTTTTGATGCTATTGTATTCTATCAAACCCACCAGCTTCTTCCCCCTCCCTCCTGCCGCTCTGCAGCAAGCAGATAAATGACTGCTTTCAAAGCAGGGCTGTGTCTACCCCACTGTTGTCACAGAGGATGTTGCTGCAAAAGGAAAGAAACGAAACCCTTCTCTCCTGGCTTGTCTGCCATTTAGAAACAAAACGTATGTTTTATATATAGGCTGACAAAGTATTCGGTCTGCAAATTAGGCAGTAAAATAAGCAGAAAACACAGCTGAATACTCTGCATAGATTTCCAAAGAAGCTTCCCAGTTCAGCAGCTCTAGTCACTGAAGGGGAATTGGGTTGGCTTTGTTTTAGGGTACGGAAAGCTGTGGTTCCATCCTCAGCGTGTCCTGCGAGTGCCCGCGTRCAGTCGCGCCCGGGCTCGCTCGGCATTGGAGCTCGTCCCCGGCAGCCTTTGGCCGGGTGGCTCTGCCACGGCGGTGCCCTGTCCTGGCAGACACGCATGGTGCCCAGGGTGGGCTCTGCTTGGAGRGCCCTCCCCATCTGCACTATCCTCCACGGTCCAGCAGCGCTGGCCTCGCTTGTGTGGTTGGCTTTACTGCCTCGCAWAGGGGCCCCCTGTCCCCTCTTTCTCCATGGGGTTTCTGTTGCCAGACAGCCCCTGCCCCTAGGAATCCCCCATCATTCGGGTTCCCTTGGGGTCTGAAGCTGAATGCTTTTCCTCTTGACATGGGCTAGGGTAGAACAAGAACCGCACGTAACAAGGCCTGCAGGGATGTCGCTGAAAGCAAAAGTTACCCTGTCTGAAATTCTAGAAATTCTTCATCTAAAGATTTCTCCACAGGGAGGATGGAGCATCAGCCAGTCAGTGAATGGGGCTGGTTGTCCCAGTGCGACTGTGACACTGGGAACTGGTGAACCAAGAGAGCTCATCAGGAGGGGTCAGCACATGTTCCTTCCTCCCCTATAAGAGAATCCCCTTTTGCCATTTCCCTTCCAGCTCCACTATGGTTTAAAAAAATTGCCTGGACTTTTGGCTGTAGCTGGCTGTTTCTGGATCACACACARGCAGGGTTGACTTTCCAGGTACAGCTGCTTTCCTGCTCCTCTCTCGCTGGAAGGTTTATTTGTATGATGGGATCTAGCTTCTCATTTCACCTGGAGCTCTCTGATGTGTGGGTCTTGGTATGATTTGCATGGGTGAAGCTCTTCTCTCCTCCCAGGCTCATGAATTTCATACATATTAGTGGCTGTAACTCTGGGCTAATTAATCCAGTCAGCACAAACCATTAAGTATCATCTCAGCCTTGAACCTGCACCTTGTGGAGGTTCCGAGCCGCTCCGGCCTGGGCTGTGGAGCAGTCCATTGTCTTGGCTTTGGCAGTTCCACCCTCCTTCCTTGGCAAGGATGAAGCCGGAATAAGGTGTGTGCTGAGGTGCATGTGGTTACTCTGCTCCCCAGCTGCTACCAGCCCTGCAGCATGAGGCAGGAAGCCCAAGACTCCTTGGCACGGCAGTCGGTCTCTTAGCCAGAGCTGCTGCAGGCCTCCTCATTATGACTGAAAGAATAACCAAGCTTGTCAATCTATTTTAAGAAAAGCCACRTCTGTCTTGTGACCAGAGCTGGAGAGATTATATAACTAAGCTTCTTAGCACTCTCTTAGCCCGGGGGTGGAGAATGCAGGGCTTTCAGCAGTAAGACTCACATTTTATGCAGCCTGAAGAAACAGAGSCGGTGTAAGCTGTAAGAAATGCAGTGGTCACTTTTAAACAAGACAGTATCTGCTTTTCCTTGCAGGGAGCCAATGCTAAATTCAACCTCCGTCTTGTTGGACCTGGTGGCATCTTCCGAGTGGTTCCCCAAACTGTCCTGAATGAAGCTCAGGTTACAGTAATAGTGGAAAATTCTGCTGCTATTGACTATGAAAAATTCAAGGTGTTAACCTTCAAGGTACTTCTGCTTTCCATTTCCTCTCAGGCTGTATACATAATATGTATATGATGGCTTATGTAAACAATGGCTTTGCAAATTTGGCTTTGCAGTGCAGCTGGAGCTGTCTAATGTATTGTTAGTGACATTATATTCCATGTAAGTGAAACTCATCTCTCCCCCTGCTTCAGCAACTTCCARAAGGTTTAATGGATGCATCTGTGGGCAGGCTCAGTCCAGTCAGCGCAAACTGTTGAATATTATCTCTCTATGGAAATTGCATATCTTRGTGGCTCTGAATCATTTTAGACTGAACCCTAGGGTTGTTATTTCTGCTGTTATGATGATAAATTCATGGGATGAAATCCTAAGTTCTCTGGAGCCAGGAATTTAGCTGCTTAGTCCAAAGTAATTTGGTCCACAATCACACGTTTGAATTTTAGTYGGCTGAAGACGCTAGCTGACAGGAAGATCATTTCCCAAAACTGTTCACTGCATTTGTCAGGTGTGTCCATATGACCCTTTTCAGACTGATCAGAGGCCCCTTTACCCATTCTGCAAGCCAGCTATACAAAAAATAGCTTTTGTCCAAAATCTGGGAACTTGCATTAGCAGCTTCCCTGATGGATTCATTGGCTGATCAACATGGTAACATAATTACGTAGTTTCTGGTTTGTGTCAGCTGCCTCTAAATAGGAGTATAGAATGCTCAGTTCTGACTGCAAAAAATAGTGTAGACAATGGCTGTGGTCGTGGAAAAGACCGTCAAAACTATGTAACTAAGTACTAACATCTGCAAGTTTTGATTTTGTACAAAAAGTGGATTTTTCTGTACAATACAGAAGCCAGAATTCCAGAGTTGTGTTGTCACCCTTGCCACATGGTTTGCTTTGTGTCCTTAGCAAGTCACCGCACTGTGATATGGTGCCTGCTGTCTCCTCTTGCAATGTGCATCAGTCACTTTGAGCCTCACAGGTTATAGATGCCAGCAAAATATGACGCAGTATTATTGTATTAAGATGGAGGTTTCAGAAAGGGCTATAAAGTGCTACCAAAACTAATTATAAGAAGTGCACATTTACTCAGCTTAAACTATCAAAAGACCACTAAAGAAGTTACACATGGCCTCCTCATGAATACTAATAGAAATCAAGGTGGTTAATGTCATTGCCAGGAACACTAAAAGAATTAATTACTAGGGAAAAAAGAATATTTTTTCTAACTTRAGAAATTACTTTTTTTTTAGTGAAATTATTTCTATGGAAGAAAGACTTTAAAGGCTTTGCTAGAAATGCAGAGCCTTTGTCTAGATTCCAAATGAAGAAGGCACAGTTAGGTGATACAGGTAGTAATATATGGCAGCGAATACTTTACAAAGACCTCGTTGCCTTCTCCATTTCCTTGCTAAGTCCACATCACTTACTGTCCCGTTTTAGTTTCCAAAGTAATCCTTCGAGCTGGCGTTTTGGGTGAAATACTTGTTTCCATCTAACACATATCCCCCCCCAGCAGCTTTGAAGAGCTCTGTGTTTCTGTAAACAGTAGCCCTTCCTCTCTGCCTCCCTATGGACTAATGACAAGATAGGGAGGAATTAAGCCACTGWGAACAGGTCGAGATGATGGCTGATTGAGAATACCTGTCCTCCCGTTATAGCTCACCTTTAAATGCAACTGGTAGCCAGGGCTAGCTGATCAGGAGCTAGAGTTGGTGTCTGTGGGGATGGCCTCCTAGAGCAAAAGCAGTGTTCAGGCCCTGCCACGGGTGCAGATGTCACTGCTGTCTCAGGGACCAGCCTCCCCTCTCCTTGTGGCATCCCTCCCCAGCCATGGCAGGGCCTGTCCCCATCTTCTGCAGGCACCAGTGGCTCCTACTGACCAGGCCCATGTGAGGATGACCCTCCGAACATGGTCATGGTGCGGGCTGATTCCATCAGCAAAGATTATTTCATCCTAGGCACTGTAATTTATTTTTAAATCCATGTATGTGTTAAGCAATCAGGATTTTATCTGTGTGCTGCTTTAGGAGCTGAGATTGCTCATGATGTTTTGGGGTTTTTTTATACTGAACCTTGAAAAATTTGTTTTGCTGGAACATCCTTATAGGCTCCCAAGCACAGTAGTTACCAAACAGATATAATAATCAAACTCCCCTTGTAGAACAGATATACTGTATGTATAAATTGCAAACAATCCTTACAAGTGGATTTTCCCAAGATCCTTCTAATGTTTTTAAATGTTTATAGTTAAATGTTTACATGGCTTCATTCATGCTCAGGCCAGTTTCCAGGCAAACTGCCTACAGGGAGCGGTTCTTTGCAGGATTTGTCTTATCCTCTCTGAGCTATCCTAGTGACTTGTGACTGGTCACAGCTGTTGTGTAAAGCCTGAGGTGTCTGCACAGGTTTGAAAAGTTCTTTACACAGCTTGATTGCCCATTGCAAGAGAGCACAAATAGGCCAATATATTATTCACACACGTAGCTCGTGTGTTCCCTGTTTCCAGCTTGTCTGATCCAACCAGACTAAAATGCTTTGAAGCTGCTTTAAGAGGTAGCAACTTTGTGGTAATAAATTCTGCATGTCCTCTTCTTAGCTTCTGGCCATCGAGGTGAACACACCTGAGAGATTCAGCTCGACAGCTGACGTGGCAATACGCTTGCTGGACACCAACGACAACGTCCCCAAGTTCTCCTCTGACTACTACATTGCCAGGATCCCTGAGAACTCCCCCGGGGGCTCCAACGTAGTCGCTGTAACAGTAAGTTTTATTTAACTCTTAAGAGATTCATCTGTCCTGACCAACTATTCATTGAGACACTCAAAACAGGTAAACTAGGAGTACGTTAAAAATACCTAACCAGGGCAACTGGCAAATCTTATTCCCAATTCAACTTCTGGACTAAGCTCCAGCTTTCCAGAGTCAACACCACCAGCACCAAACAGTTTTGATAAAGCCCTATTCGAATATTTTTCAGAACAACAATTTTATATCTGTTTTTTAATCAAAGGACACCTGCTTTTAAGACAAATCACATGGTCAGCAAGTACTAGGAAAGCCCCAGTCAAATTAGTGTCTAGCAGGAGGATCAGCTGTGACTAAGTGGAGGTGGATTTACTGGATTTGCTTGCTTAAGTATGGGTAAAAAGAACACAAAATGGCTGCTCAGTAGAGTATAAGCCATCTCCTCCTGGGAGGAACCAGGCTGCTAAATGCATAATTAGACAGTTAATGAAGGCAAGGATATAACATTAAAAGTCTYTGTGTAAAGATCTTCTCCCAGTGGGGAGAATATGCTTATATATTATCTAGTCTCTCCTAGTCCTTGTCCTAAGAAGAAAATGAGGACATTATGTGGCCCAGAGAAGCATTTCCAKTCACTACACCCAAGCTGGGCCTGTTTAATACAGCAGCTGGGCCTGGACATAGATCTCATGTCACAAAGCCAAGAAAGCTCCAAGCCAGGTGGCAGTCAGGGGGTGACGGCAGTCAGGGGGTGACACCAGTCACTTGGACAAGGCCAGAGCTACTGGTGATGGAGGCCAGCTGCAATTCACAGAGGAAAGGAGCTGACCAGAACTAAGGGCAGGTTGTAAGGAGAGAAGAACAAATGTAGAAGGGAAGCAAAAACAATACAAAGAGAAAGGAATATTAGAGGAAAGTAGAAGGAAAGCTGTAGAAAACAGACACTCCCAAATACCAATAGCTTTGCAGGAAGGGGAAGAAAAAAATCTAGGAGGTGGCCAGCAAAAATAAAAGAAATTTTTAAAAGTTGCCAAAGCAGCAAAACTTAGCCAAGGTGAAGAGTCCATGTGGAAGTCACCATCATGTGGTACTGACTCACTGCTTGACCTCTACTCCCAAAGAGGGGCACTCCAGAATCACCATTCTGGCAGGAGCCCCGGCTAAGCAAGATATTTTAGGCAAAGTTAGGCATTTTAAGAAAAAAACAGACCACAGGGTCTGCTGTGGGAAGGTAGCTCAGGGAAGCTGCTCAGCTCACGTTGAAGAAGGGAAAGCCTGTGTAAGCAAGGCTGCAGGTGTGTTACATTAGCCTTGATGTACAAATCAAACATACTACTCTGTTTTTTACAAGAAGCGCCAAATATTTAACTGGGAAGAGAAATGGACCTCTGAATTTTGATGGCCAAGTACAAAGCAATAATATAACACTGTCTCAGACATATATAATACCTCCAGGAAGAAGGRACTTGCAGAAATAGCTGCCACCAAAGCAGTGGTTTTGCTAATCCCCAGCTAAGAGAGGAAGTCAAGAAGAGTTCAGAACAAAGATAACAGCCAAGATAGTATCTGTATTCCTAAAAGTCCCACAGGCACAAGAGAGATTAAAACATAAGCACTGCTAAAATATTATGTATATAATGAAATAATTGCTATGTATTAATTTCAATTAGATCAATTAAACAAGCAGAGACTTAGGAAAAAATCTCCTATATAAAGTAAATAATTTTGGCCAGGGAGTATATGTTAATATTAAACTGATAACAAGGGAGACTAGAGAACAGGCAGTTTGTTTCTATCAGCGAGATGGSCTTGGTTTCTAGCAAAAGAATGATCTGTTAAATGTCAATATATGGAGCCCTCTAGTGGCTTCTTTTTACTTGTTTCAGCCTCTGAGCTGAGGCAGGGAGACAGGCATCAGCAGCTTTCATGGGACACCCAGGGGCATTTGCTTGAGTTAGATTTTGCAGTTTCATATGTGCATGTATGTTTGTGTGATTTCCTCCTTATGGTAATGGAAGATTTTCCTCCATTATGGTAAAAGGAGGGAAAGCATTTGGATTTTGAAGTAGCCTGTTGAGAGGAACATGAATATATTTCTCTTTTTTTTTGCAATTTAGTGAATGATGACCCTATTGCTTTTCTTAAGGCTACAGATCCAGATTCAGGACTCTGGGGAGAAGTCAAGTATTCTATCTATGGAACAGGAGCAGATTTGTAAGTAAAAAAACAAAACAAAAAAACACCCACACCACCAAAAATAAATCCCCAGTAACTATATTAGAAAAGAGTTTTAAAAGTGAGAAAAAGAAAAGGAGAGAGAGAGAGAGAGAACAGGCAGACTAGAACGGCTGATGTCTTGACCTGCTCATTTCCAAAGACATTTATGCCAGGTCCTTTATGAGTTCTGTGAAAGCAACAGCAGAAGAACTAGTACATTAAACATCTGCTTCATGAATCCATGGAGTTTTACTAGCAGAATATTCTCCCCCCCAAAAGAGACATAAGGCAGATGAAGTACCACAGCMCTGTTTAAATTGCCATTTGAAAAATGCTTGTAATAGGAAGAGGAGTTTTTGGTCTGGTTATTGTGAAAAGTCAATTCTGAGAAAAAGAAAATCCTTTACTCTTTCCCTCTCCCTTTTCATATTGCTGTACAAATAGTTCAATTTCAGCTCTTGTCAAAATAAATCAAAGAGGACAAGACTTTCAAGGCTATAACCTTCAGCTCTGGAGGACAGCTGCACGGGCTGCTTAAAGCATTTCTTGTATTTAAACCTAATAGCTCTAGGTCAGAGAGGAAGAGAATCTCATACTTATTTGATTTCATAATGATGTTTAGCTCCCCCTTTGCTCCCCCCTTGTTCTCCACTACATTGGAGAACATGCACGTAGTGCTCCCACCTTGTTTTCCTACCAGCAGTCTCCTGACTGGATGGGTTGGGGCTCCTCTAGCTTCACCAGCCACCAAGATTTTGCTGCTGGAAGCTGCAGCTCCTGGGAACAGGGATTGCTGCAAGGAAGAGCTGACAAATGAACGAGCTGCTCAGGCCCTCACCCCAGAGCCTGTTTTTCTCTTTGTGTATCTGTTCATACTTAAAGATGAACTTCTCTTGTTGAGGTGAATGCTACTTAGGAGGCACAATCAAAGGCCAAAATCCTAGATATTAAGGGTGGACTCTTCTGTAGCCAGAAGGATGTACATATGGGAGCATTTCCAGGATGGATTATTTTGAGCTTCTCGCTAAGTCCTTAAGCTAGCTGCTAACTGGGTAGAGGCAAGCAGGCAAAGGTCGTGTCATACAGTCAGACCTCTCAGGTTTAAAATGTAGCAGCTGGTGCAAAGAAGCTTGTGAAGGTTGTTGACAAAGGATTTAGGAAAAAAAATGCAAGTGCAAGTTTATTTTGCTTGGTGTTATAGGGATGTTCTGATTCACTGTTCTCATGCTTTTAGATGAGTAAATTTAGCTGTGTGGACACTTTTTTTTTTTTTTTTTTTTTTTTTTTTTTTTTTTTTTTAGCCTGATTTCTTTTTTTCCCTTTTGCTTGTGCCGGGCTGGCATGGCTCTCCAAAGCTTGATCAGTTTTCTGGCTCTTGGATCTCCAGATCTACTAACAGATAATTCATATGCAGATTTTAGAGTTTCAGTTAGGAGCAGGATTTTTGTGTCACTCATAAATGCAGTGACAAAGAGGTGCAGTGCAATAAGAGGAATAACACTAACTTTTGAAGATACAGCCCTTACACCAGTAATCCTGTGTCCAAGCTGCTACTAGGAATGGAGTACTCTGCTGTAATCTCCTTATAGCTCAGTACCTCTGTTCATCTCTAAAATGAGGATGAAGAGTGTCCTCTCTGCATGATTAGGCTGGACTGGGCTGCAAGGAGGCACTGAGCACAGGTCTCCTACCCTGAGCTGGACAGCACTTCCCTCACGTTCCTCCTGGACATCAGCATCTTCGCTGTCATCTGGAGTGTAGTTGTATTTAACAGGGTAATGCAAACAACTGATGAATCTGGATTATTAAGGATGTTTTCAAATCATTTTCCATTTAGCTCTCAGAACAAAAAGTATTTTCTATCTTTTATATTAGTTACAAGAATACATAAAACCTTCCATTTGTTTAAAACTCCCACTGTTTGGACCAGKGCTGAGAGTCCATTTAAAATTATACACTGTTATTATCTTCTCTATAAGCGCAAACCTTTGCCTGTCACTCTTGATAGTGTCTCATTAATTAGATGTGTAGAATTGAACTTGCTACAGAGACATCTGAACATCCACTCCATCACTTCTGCAGAGAAGTGATTATTCTGGGGGGAGCCACTTTGTCCTGCTTTTTCTGGGATTTGAGAGCAGCCATTTTTCTTACCTATTCTGAGATGCTAAGAGCTTAAATATGACATGCAGCACGCTTCCCTCAGCTGCTGAGGGTATATCAGTCAATCTTAATTTATTAGGACATGATCTAATACATTGTCCTTATAAACTGAACAAATAGGCCGTTCTTTAATGTTTTAACACAGCGAAGTCACTGTGGGAGAAGTCCCTCACACTGAACATTTCATGAGGACAAAGGCTTTAGCAAAAAACTCATCTAAAATGGCTAATGTGCAATGAATAGAAAAGCACTGATCATTCCGTGGTTTTCAAGCCTAAAGGAACAAGCAAAAATAGACTGAATATTTTGTGAATTAGCACCTTTTCAGGTGTGTTCTCACCATGATGCACGAAGATCTCAGCTACTTCCCAGCCCGGGTCTTCAGTACAGCACATGTACATGAAACCATCTGGGCTCGGTTCAGCTCTCAGCACAGCCTGAGGTGGTGGGGAAAGGAAGGCACCTCTCAGTACTTTTCCTTTACCCCAGCAATTCCTTACTATGTGGAGGGGAGACCCAAAGTGCAGTGATCTGCCTCCTTCCTGGGCTGGATGTGCAGCTGCTCCTGAGCACCCCATTTCCCTGCCACTTCAGTAGCTGAGCAAAGCGAGGCACAGAGCAAAGGCTGTCGCAGGCCTGAGGACTTGGTGTTTGCACAGGCTGTTTTTGCAGAGGCAGCAAATGGTTATTTTGGTGTGCAGTGAAAGCCACAGACCACCACTAAGCATGAATCAGCCAGCCCCAAGTTAAGTTTAGAGTACTAATCTCGGGGGCAAATCCAAGGTTTAGAACCCACCTTATAAACATGTTAAGTGACAAAAAAAAAAAATCTCAAATCTTGCCATGCTTCTTTTCCAGGTTCTTAATCCACCCGTCCACAGGTATAATTTACACCCAGCCCTGGGCTACATTAGATGCTGAAGTGAACTCGAAGTACAATTTCTATGTGAAGGCAGAGGACACGGATGGGAAGTACAGCTTGGCTGAAGTGTTTATTACGGTCCTGGATGTCAATGACCACTCTCCAGAGTTCAATGAGAACATCCAGGAAAAGACAATGATCATTGGGTCACCAGTGAAGATAGAGGTGAGACACRGCACCACGTGTCACAGCAGAGTGCTTTGAGAACCCCCAGCTCTGCCTTCTTTTGCTCTAGGATCATAATGAGGGCCTAAGAGCTGGCTTTTTGTGGAGCTCTATTTACTCCACACATTTATTTATCTATGTAAATACATATGGATTGAAACAGTCATAGTATTGGCAAACTGAAGGAAGAGAAATACACTTCTATAAGCAAAGAATGTTCACTTTCAGTATTTGAACAATCTGCTGGAGGAAAATGGATTATAGAATCTCATCAGAGGAAGCCCAAGAAAGACAACTGAAATGGATTATAGAATCTCATCAGAGGAAGCCCAAGAAAGACAACTGAAAGCACAGAGTTTTAAATACTTGGCCTTCCTTCAGTGCCTTTGTGCTCAACCTCATAAGTTCTCTTTGCGGAAGACTTTATAGTGAATCAGTACAGTGATTTGTGGAACAGGAGGTTAAAAAAAAAAAAAAAAAAAAAAATCAATTCGTAGCAAAGGAGCAAACCCCTCTACCCTACAAATTTGAATGCATATAATCAAGCCTAATTGCACAACACCTGAAGCTGGATAAAATAACTAGCGGAGCATAAAGATTAGATAGCTATGCTTTGAAGAGAGTGGAGCTGATCACATTGTTCTCCATTTACTTAATATTTGTACCCATTCTGTGTAGGCAACTCCCCAGTAATGGRCCATTTGCATTCTATAGATAGGTCATTATTCACTTTTTCCACCGCTTTAGTCTCCAATAGAAAACGTTTATAAAAGAGCTCTAGTCCTGCTGTTTTTCACTAGAAAATGTAGCACAGCTGATAGGGGAAAGGCAAAATAGTTTCCAGGAGCGCACAATAACAGCCCAGTAACCTCAAAGCAGAGATATGTGAAGTGAATGCTCAAACCTTCTGAATTTTGTCTCTGGTCTAGCTGCAAACTATAACTTCTTTGTTCTGTACCCTTCCTGTACCAGGCCATAGATCAAGATGCAGAAGAACCCAACAACATTGTTGATTATTCTATCATGCAAGCAGATCCAGCCAACGTGTTTGATATAGACCAGAGCACAGGGGAAATCAAGCTGAAATCCTATATCCGTTCCCTGGACATCATCCACAACATCACAAAGAACAAGGACTGCATCTGGTCGCTGGTGGTGCAGGCCAAAGACCGAGGCTCCCCTTCCTTCAGTACCACTGCAGTTCTGAAGATTGATATCACAGAGGAGGTAAGCAAGGAGCTTAGAAAAAGCCTCATGGGGGATGATCCTTGAATGGCATCAAAGAAAAATCATTTTTGCTCCATTTCTGAGAGCATTTTTAAATGCTTCAGGAATTCAAATCAGACAAAGTTGCCAGTCCTCACTTGCCCTTTTTGGTAGCTCTGTAACATGCAGTATTTCTAGATCCTTGTAATGAAACCATTTACAACAAATGTAAAAGACTTTTTGGTGAGAGAAATTGCAAAGATATAATGTGCTTTGAAGATGACTTCTTTGCATCTATCTGTTAGAACTGGATGCAAAGTAGGGTCTGTGGACTCCTGGGAGTAAATCCCAGCTGCTCAATTTCTGATCTTTATTGCAGTTGAGGAGAAAGGAGGAGGAGAACAATCTTTCCTCCCTAGAAAAAGTGGAAAGTCGCTGTGGACAGCATGAAAGATAGCAGACCGGTTTTGCAGTCAGCATAGGTGAAATGGGAGGAGAGACAACAGTACAGAAATGCTTTAAAGGGTATAGAAATTTAACTGCAAGTTTAGTAACTGCAGTATTATCAGCACACAACACAAGGTGACTTCAATAGATTGTCCCCATGAGTTGAGTTTCCTGTTACTCATTTTTGGCAAAACAAAAGAATAAGTAGCAATTCATCATGAGCAGAGCATGCGTGCAGGGTTTCTGTTCATTGTAACTGCTTGGGTGTGCATTTAAGTGGGTAACAGCAGGAAGAAATGGGCTTTAGCAAGAGTAGGAGCATCACCAGCCTGACAGTCTGTGGATCACACACACAATGGGCAAAAATACAAATCTCTTTCCACGGGCCTTCCCTCGGTCTTCCCTTCGCTTGGCCAAAATAAGCCAAATACTTCTTTACATATTATCATCTCTCCATTTTCCCTGTCTCCTCATATCCCACTGACATCCCTATTAGGGGTATTTCTGTGACACTAAGAAGAAAGCAGCCTCCTGCAGAGCGCCCCTTCCCGCTCCCCAGAGGTGCAGATTTGGCACAGGGGGTGGAAGGGAAGGAGGCCAGGCCCCGAGGACACGGGCTCCTCTCAACACGGCTATTTCCATCTTCCCTTTCTCTTCTCCTTGCCAAGTGCAATCTCTGAGGTAGCAACAGCATCTTCCTTCTCCAACTGAGTAGGTGTCTTCAGCAGGATCTGTGGTACTGATCTCATCCTATGGCCTCAATTAGTTTCTGTACTAATTACTCCATTACTTCTTTCATTGCTTGTAGCTATTTACTCTTTTTTTTTAATCTTACATCATCACAACCAATAACATCTTTAATCATCACAACCAATAACATCTTTAATCATCACAACCAAAAACCACTGTGCTCTGGCTGTCTGCAGTGTCTTTAAGTTAGCAGTTTGGGGGGCATTTTTCTATTACTGATTTTGGATAAGGAATACTCTTTCTAAAGACATCCTCTAGATGTTTCCTGCAGTGTTAATCACATCAAGTAATTAACAGGCATATTTTCTGATTAACATTCACCATTGCAATTAGCACAAGGCCACACCCTTTGAGAGAGTTGCCTTGCAGCTAAGTTCAGCAGAACTGCACAGCAAAAGCACCTTTTGCTCTTAGAATGTGATTAGAATGTGCTCTTAGAATGTGCTCTTAGAACTATAAAAGGTTCCAGGGGCCATTTAACTGAGTGGTTTTTATGGAAACTTGTATTGAGTGATGCATCTGTTAATCTCCTATCCTTTCTTGACAGAATAAGAAACATGCTGAAAAGACTTTGACCATGTCTTATTATGTCTTATTAAAAAGGGAAAATCTATTCCTGCTACTTGAGACGTTTCAGTGATATCTGTCCCTGCTCTTTTGATCCTGCAGCTTGGTGTGATTGAGGGGGATCCCTGTCTCTTCATGGCTCCACTGAAGCTCTCTAAGTATGTGGGGGTGTTTGTTTACAGCTCTTCACTGAGGTTTAAATCCATGTTTAGACAGTGTAATCTGTGATATTTTTAGTTCTTTATAGATTTGGCCGCTCCTTCAGCTCCTAAATATAGCTAGTGAATCTCAGTTGGAGCTCCCATGACTGCAACCTGCCAGCAGGATCTTCTGTGAGTTAATTTGGGTGTTTCTTCCTCTCCCTTAGCAGCACCCACAACCATGGGGATTGTGTCTTTGCTGTTTGCAGCCTGCTCTTTCCACAGCTACATGGACCTTAGACAGAACTGGGCAGAGCAGGTTTATGCAATTTAGGCCCTGCCTTCTGCTCGTTTTCATGTTGGAAAATAATGCAGGCTGTGACACCACCTGCACTGTCTGTAACGGGCAGCGGGCTGGCACTGCCGCTGCTTCGCCCACTCGCTCGGATGCCTAAACATAGCTGGAGAGGCTGGGGATGGAGGCGCCCAGCCCAGATCTGCTGGGTCCTGGTGCAGGATGTGCCCCCCACCCCATCTACCTGCGCACCCCGCAGCCCCCGGAGAGCCTCCAGGAGGGCGGGTGTCTGCAGGCAGCAAGCGGCCACGGCGGGAGAGGGAAGAGCAGAGCCCCGGAGCAGAGCACGGAGCAGAGCCCCGGAGCAGAGCCCCGACTCTCTGGGGAGCTGCAGGGCCCTGGCAGCCCTGCCAGCTGGATGGGGCTCGAGGGGCAGCAGCAGGGGAGGACACCCCGCATGTCACAGAGGGGTCTCCCTCACATGTGCAGCCCAAACGTGTCCTAGCAGCCCTCAAACAGCAGCGCTGGAACCAGCCCCAAGATCACTGCTGGTAACTCCATAGTTTATTTTTTTTTTTTTTTGATTGCAGTCTTGACTGTAGCTTGGACTTTTCCTTTCTTCACGTTCATACAGCAGTGTAACTATATCTGGACTTCGGCCACGGTTCTTTAAACCCTCTGGTCATTCCCAACCTTTCCGGAGGCCAGTTTTCATTGTAGTTAGAAGTCACAGTAAAAAATCATCTTTTGTGAGTAGGGGTGATTTAACTCCTCCRATGTCTATTAGAATAGAGACTTTTTCTTCCAGTTTCTGCCCCTGAGACAGATGATAGCTCTTCCAATACCAGCTTTTATTTCTCAGTGTATCTRCCCTTCTTTAGTGTTTGCAAGAAAAAATCAACAGTCTTCAAAGTGCAATATGCCTCTTAGCAAAAAATAACAGCAGCCCAGTGAAGTACCGAGGGCTGCTGTTTGGTGACCTGGTTCAGATGTGTTGTCACTGATGGCTACACAGACTTGCAGCTGTGCAGGGGGTACAGAAGCAAAGTGCTTACCCCTGCCTGTGCAGCTGCCCCCAGCTGTTGCTGCCGCAGGGGCTCGGACTGCCCTCAAACCCGTGTTAATCAGATGGGCCACAGCAAAGATGCACACAGGTTTTTGGTGGCACATGGTAAGGCCTCCCCTTGGGCAAACAGATGCTGCAGCTCCTGGGTCCTGTAAATATCATGCCCTTGGTTAACAGCAGGTTTGTCACTGTAGGCTTGCAAGTGCCTAATGGTTCACACACACATCAGAAGAGAGGCAGCATCCAAGCATGGGCCAATACTGTCCTTTTATAGTGCCAACCCAGTAACCAGAGCAATGGCTGAACCAGCATTAATGGCTTTAACTCTGATGTTAATCACCTGTGTGTAGCTAGAAACTCCAAGCAGGAGCTGAGGCCAGTGAGAGCTGGGGCATCTAGTGGAGCTGAGCTCTGAATCTCCCTGTCAGAACCTCCCTGGGACTGTTTCACCCTGACAGCATAGATAGCTATATCCAATGCTATTTATTCATGATTTTCCAACAGCTAGTCAAATAATTGCTACTGATACATACTGCCTTCTTAAGTATATGTCATCTCTCTCCTTGTGTTGTTCCTATACTATTTAGCCTTCACTGCCAAGCTGCAGAATAGATTTTGACAACAGGTATAATAAATGGATGCATCTCGGGTCATGTACTACTTAGCAGGGTTTATCTGACACTTAATTCATCAGGCTTTCACATAGAGTTAAGTGAGCAAGGGTAGAATTTCTGTCATCTGATGGGATCTAGGTGCACAAAATCCATCTAATGTAGAACAGCAAAGCTGATCTGAATGCAGCCTCCCCCRAAGTTGTGTGCTGCTCAGCTCCATTGCTAATTAAGCGATGGAAAAATCTCTTTGCACAGCAGAATAGCAAAGACTGGTCTTCATCAGTATGGTTYAGTATGGTAAAGTCATCCATGAATTTCAGCAATATCTTTGCCCGTTTCTCTTTTGTCTCTCTCTCATCTTGCTTTAAACATCTAAAAGCCACATGTTCAAGTGCAAGCTCGTCTCAAGGGTCCACAAATAGTCACTGTCTTTGACACCTCTTTTGTCAGACAAGTGACAGCTCATCTACTGGAGGTGCCTGTTTCTCCTCACGGACTAAATGCTGGGCACCTCCACYGCTTATGTAGATGACCTTAGATGTACAGAGCTGGGGAGGTGTTGCCCTCCTGGAGGGTTCACTCCCTGAAGGATCTTGTGGCCTTTCCCAAATCTCTTGTCATCAAGATAACCTTTCACACGTGTGCATTTGTTGCGAGCTCCTCCARAAATGTAGTCTGGGCAAGTCTCCATGCATTGGGGTGCTCTGCRTGTCTTGCTGCTTTCCCTCTGTCCCTCATCAGCCAAGTGTTTGTAAGTATTCCTGTCGTCATCTCTCTTTTTAGTATTTCTAGATTTAGTTCTACATCATTACAGAGGTCTCATCTCCTGTGCCTAATTCAAGCACTTATCTCCCCTTATTTTACATACTGGCTAGTCTATACCTGTTCTGCTCTGGTTCCCTGGTTATATTTATGATAAATACCGACCTCTTTCAAATGTAATCGTGCCTGGGTTGACCATTTCTCTTATTTTTGACATTTCCAGATCAAGTCCAGGGTAAAATCCTATATTTTAGGCCTCAAGAAGCGTCCGTGGACAATATTTGGGATTTGCACGAGTGGCGTCCTGTCCGCCATTTCGGTCACAATGGTGATCTCCACCGTCACCTACTGGAAAAGTGTGAAAAGATCCAAGCTCCACCCGCAGGGGAAATTCCGCAAAATAATCCGGGCACCTCCGAGACGCACAATGTGCTCAGCTGCAAAGTGAACTGGCCATTCATTTGTCCTTAATATGCCATACGTAGCTTATGCTAGTGCTTCTTGATGATAAAAACAAAGCTCTTCAGCTCTACTCACATCCCCTACCTCGCAGAGTTTGTTATGTCTGTAAAAGAGTACTTGAAAACAGAAGGCAGCACAGACCTGCCAACTGCTCAGGTGTACAGTGTGATTTAAAAGGCCAAGTTGTTTCCAAATCTTTTCCGTGCTATATTCAGTAGCAGTCCTATACACTRCATCGCTGTATCACCCGCAGCTGGTTTTGAAAGATCCTTTTCTCTTCATAAAATTATCTTTCAACACAATGGTTCAGCACTATTGTTCTTCAGAAATGAATTCTGAAGCGTATTATAACAATGCAGCTGGAGATCCGAGCGTGAATTGTTTCCTTGCTCGGGCAAGTTAAACAGATCCTGTGGTGATACCCAGCACTCTGGCAGCAAGTCGCCTGCAGGTTGCCGTGTTTGACAGTCCCTGACAATGCTGTAGTGTTTGCCTAGGCTGCTGCTGTATCCAAATTATCCAAACCCACGTTGGTGATGTGACTCTCACTTTTTTTTTGTAGGCAACTTCTATTAGCCAACCCTGCTTGTTACATATTTTGGACAAATGAAATTTCTGGGTCACTGTCTGTCCCATAGCTTGTCACGTGTTTTCTTTGTACTCTTTTACAGACTCTTCACAAAGGGCCTATGGCCGCCTTTTTGATGCAAACTAAAGATAACCCCATGAAAGCCTTAGGGGTGCTAGCTGGCGTCATGGGCATCATGGTGATGATAACGGTCATGATCTCCACCGCCATGTTCTGGCGCAATAAGCGGTCCAACAAAGTCATGCCCGTGAGGAGGATCATAAAAAAGAGGCAGGTGCACCCGCCCCGCTCGGTCCGCATGGAGTGGCTGAAGCTGAGGAGATCCAGCAACGCCGCYGAGAAGTTCATGGTCGAGGAGGACGCCGGCAACGAGAACAGCAACAACAACGCGCGGGCSGGGGCCGCAGTGCCGCCGGCACCCACCCCGCCGCCGCCGCCCGTGCCAGCCTGTGCGGCGGCCGCTCCCGCATGGCACCTGCCCACCGTCTCCGGCTCCCTCGCGCCCACCTTCAGCAACAGGCCCCTGARGAAGAAGGGCCCGGGCGGCGCGCACAGCGCCCTGGTCTCCGAGCTCAAGATGAAGTTTGAGAAGCGCAACGCGGCGCTCGGGGWCCCGCACATCTAGGCGACGTGGCCGGCAGTGGCTGCGTGCGGCAGTGTGTGTGTGCTGTGCTCTTCCCCGTTCCGTCCAGCACCCAGCGAGTGGCTCCTCAGTGTGATGACTGCCCTTCACCTTGTGCATGTACCACGTGCCGTGGTCCCACCATGGCCAATGCTGCAACCTGCGCCTCGATGTGACTGCGGTTCCTGCAGGTTGTGTGTCCTCCCCAYGTCTGTCACCGGGCCCCTAACTACTGAGGTCACCCAGCGCATCCCCAAGTGCCCGGTGGTTTAGGCTGCCTCTGCTTCACAGTCCTGGCTTTTGGACAGTGGTGTCCTGCAGCTTCCTAGTGACAGATTTCACCTGGCCGAGCCCACAGGTCTGAGGTGCCTGAAAACTGATCACTCCCAGCGAGCAACCTGTGGGCCTGGCTGCGGTGAGAGATCGGCACCGCGCGGAGGTTCTCGGCCGGGYACGTGTCCCTGTGCACGAAGAGCTCCCGGTGGGCCGCTCGTGTCACTTGTCCTGGATGCTTGTCCTAGACGCTGGGCGCTCTGAGCCGGCGCTGGGAGGCATCCTGTTCCCTGCCGCTTTGGCTGGGCTTCTGTGATGGGTGTTGACAGGATGCTCTCCACTTTGACACTAGACTTTCCTGCTGATAAGAGAGCGGGAGGGCCGCTCCAGTCCTTTAAAGCCCAGCTGGGGCAGGATGAACGCGCGGAAGCTCAGTAACGGCGCTCKTGCGGTGCGGCCTCCTTTCCACACCATGCTTCCTAACGAGGGGGAGGCCAGCGGGAGAGAGGCCTGATTAAAGCAGCAGGGAAGGTGAGGTAAAGCTGCGAGAAAAAGCGGTAAGTGAAAAATAGGGACAAGTGCTGCAGACCCACGTATGTTGGTTGGGAAAGTGTCTGGGAGAATTATTTGTTTTTGAACACTCCGGCAGGAGGTGCTGGAGGAGGTATTTCATCACTTCTCCTGCCTTGGGACTGATGAGCACAAGATGAGGTTCCCTTAAAATATTCTAGTTTGTCTTCTCAACATTTTTGGCTGAAYGTTGCAAGAGGTAAGAAGGGGGTGGGTTCTTAGGGACCAGTTTTTTCCCTGTTRTGTGGCAGCAAGAAGGCACTGGAGGCAGCACATCCGTCCTGCTGGGTCTGCTCCACAGTCCTGCAGAGCTGCATGCGCTCATTCCTGGGAATGCCTCATCCTGGACCAGGAGGGCTGCCTGGACACCTGGGCGCTCTGCAGAGGGGAGGGGGACTGGGACATCAGCTCGTCTTTTGGCCACAAAGCGGAAGCAAGTGCGCGCTGGCCTCGGCGTGAGCTCCGTGCCTGCTGCCGTCGCTGGCAGAGGCAGGAGCGCCCGCAGGCAGAGGCAGGAGCGCCCGCATGCCGGTGCTGGCCGCCTGGGGGGCTTTTCTAGGAGCTGGGTTAATTCAAGGGTTAATTCAGGGCTCTGTCATTTCAGCCAGCCCAGCAGCTCCCTGCAGACCTCCTGCGGCCCCGCTGCCCTTTGCAGCAGCCTCTTCCCGGCCTCTCCTGCCCCACGGGCCTGGAGGCTGGTGGCAGCACTGGAGCCCTCGTGCCATCCCCGGGCTGCCTGACCCTGGTGTTGGCCAGGGTGCTCCAGCTGCCGTCATCCTTTCCCTTTAAGGTGTGTGCTATATATGTTTAGCAAGCCAGGCTTCCCTTCGTTTGCACTGTGATTTAGTTTAGGGGGCAGTTGCTTGCACTGAGGAGCAATGATATTTGGAGGGCAGAAGACAGGATCTCCTTCTTGTGCCTCCCTCTGTTGAGGACTGCATGGGAGACCTCCGTGGGCGAGGAAACAGGCACCCATAAATTGCATCTTCGCAGGCGGTGTGAATGCATCTTCAGGCCATGCGCCTGTTGGTGGGTGCCACACGTGCGGCCTCGCGCCCACGCTGGGGGTGGCACGGCTGCCTCCCCTTTCATCCCTGCCAGCACTGGGTGATAGCAGCGCAGCCCCCAGTCCCACCCGTTGGGCTGGCCCCTGCGCTGGCGCTGTCCGTCCTTCCCCGAGCACCCTGCTTGTGGGGTACCAAGTTCCCTGAGGAACCAGAAGGCTGTTGTTAATCTGTGCTACTGTTTTCCTGGTGTTGTATSAAAGACAGTATTTAATGGTCACTCTCAAGTGAGGAAAGCCTATAAGGACTGTTCAATTAGGTGAGATTTAGGAGGAATTATAGGCTTATAGTCTTAGAGATATATTTAAGAGGGAATAAAGATGTTTTATTATTATGTTGTAAGACTTTTTTCCAGTTATGCTGTGTTTCAACTTTATTTTTTAAATAAATGATGATTTTAAAAATCTGTAAAAGTTGCTCCTGCTCCTGGTGCGTTTCTGCTGTCAGTGAGGAGCTTCTGGTTGCTTTAAACAGACAGGATTCCTGGGCAGCCCCAGGGCAGGAGAGAAAGGAGCAGAAACCCTCTCTTGAGAGGGCAATTTACATTGGTCTTTACCAATTACAATTATAGGTGTATATTTTTTGCACTGCCAGTGCTCTCTGAGTCTACTGTTACCATCTCCTGCCTGCAGCGTGTGCTCACCCCGAGCTCTGTCTTTCCCCACCTGCTGCTGTGGAGGTTGCAGCAGCCAAGGCAGGACAAGGCTCTGCCCCTGGGCTCGCCCGGCCTGGGAGGAGGCCTGACCGGGTCTCCTCCCTTAACCTGTCAGTGCTGAAATCAGGGTCTGCAGTGCACTTGGGCCAGTGAATCTGTACATTTTGTCTCCAAGTTGTTCTGTTGCAGCTGGAGAGGCTAACCTGCTTAAGGTGGGCTTACTTTTTTTACGGTTTTATTTAATACCTTTAGTAAAATTTACCCAGCAAATACAAGTTTGTAATGTGTAAACTTTACGAGATATATGTATTTTTTTTAAGCTTGCATTTGTGCCCACAGAGGCAAGGAAGTGCCACGTGAYGGGGCTAGCTGCACAGCACAGGCAGTGCAGGGAGCTGAGCAGCGCGGGCTCTGCGGCGTGGGCAATGATGCAGTGGGGCAGCTCTGTGCTGCAGCCAGGGAGCCCATGCTGAGCCCTGCCGCGCCACCCTGCGCTCCTCGGGTCAGGATCCTGGGCAAGTCTTARCTACGGAAGGTGAGAAATAAAGGAGCAGCTGCAGCTTCTGAAAATCATTTATTTATAATGGTTTATTATTTTAGCACTAAGAGTAACAGGACCGCAGCACTGACAAAACACGTGGCTTGGTGAGAGCTGTGCAAGACGAACAGGCCACAGAGTGTGTGGGGAAGGAGACGCAGGCCTCAAGGGAGACAGCACAAAATACATAAGGACGCCTATCCTGGGTCACCAAAGCAAAGCGCACCTAACAAGCCACAGTGCCACAAAGCCAAACCAGGTGTGCGGCTTCGTGGCTCCCTACAGCGGAGGCTTCACCTACTCAGGCTACTTACGGTGCCTGCAGCAGCACCCAGTGCCCGGACGCTGGGGCCCTCGGCCACCTGCTCTGGCCAGGCTGCAAAGCGTGAGGATGAGAGCGAGAGCCGCCCGGGCAGCAAGGCCGGCTGCTGGTACAGCGTTTTGTCTGCCCCGTTTTTAATTCCTTTTTGTTTTTATTTTCCTCTTTGTTTCTTCTAAAGAGAGATTCTTCTACTCAGTGACTGTGAGTTTAAAAAAAAAAGAAGACGTACACAAAAATAAATGCACATCTGTATGGAGCAGTCACTGTGGAAAAAACAAATCCACCCCACACAAATGTACTTTGAAATATTCTTACAAATTGAAAAATATTTTTTTATGATCCTCTTAAGCTTGACAAATATTGTACAGCCCTGATGGTAAGTAGCTGCTGGAACACGGCCCAACGGCACCGGCCTGTTGTGCAGCCCTGCTGGGAGCACAGCTGGGCAGGAGCGGGAGCTGGGGCCAAGGCCGGGCGCTAGTAGAGGTCGGCGCTGTTCCTGGGGCCGGGCCGGGCCTTGCCAGGGCGCTCGGGCTCCCCATGGCGCGGCCGGCGGCCGGGCCCGGGCTGGCAGAGGCCCTCCTCGCTGCCGCCGGGCAGGCTGTCGAGGCTGCTGTCGGGGCCGCTGCGCGGCGCGCGCTCCCCGCGGCGGCGCCGGCGGCAGGGCGCCAGCCCGCGCGCCACGCAGCCCGGCCGTGCCTCAGCCGTGCATGCGTACATGCCGGCGGGCACTGCCAGCACCATGGCGCAGATGATCACCACGATGTGGATGAGCTTCTCGCGCTGCTCCAGCTGGCTCACGTCGCTGCCCGTGACGAAGACGACGCACTGGCCCTTGCGGGGCGCCTGGTCACGCACGGCCACGCACACCTCGTACTTGGTGGCAGGCAGCAGGTCGCCCACGCTGTACGTGTGGACGCCAGGGCCCACGGAGACCGTGTCCTTGCGGGCGGCGTCATAGCGGCCCAGGTGCAGGGTGTACCAGGTGTCGCCGGGCTCRGCGGCCGCCGCGCGCCACTCCAGCGTGATGCCGTACACGGTCTGCTTGGCGATGCGCACCTCCACGTGGGCTGTGCTGCCCTCAGCGCCACCGCCYGGCGCGGGCCCCACCGTGGCCGCGGTGGCTGGCACGGCGCCGAGCGGCTGCTCCCCGACGCGCAGCGCGATGCCCACTGAGGCGTTGCCCAGGAAGTTGGCGGCCCAGCAGCTGTAGCTGCCGGCGTCCATGGGCCGCGCGGCCGCGATGCGCAGCTCCGAGCGCAGCGTCTCCTCGCCCACCGGCTCCGTGGACACTGCAGCAAGAGCAGGCAGAGCTCGTCACTGCCACCAGGACACCCCCCCCCACCCCCCAAGCGCCCAACCCACCACCCGCAGCCTCATGTCCCCTCCCCAAGGCACCAGCACCGTGTATAGCAGGACACAATGCACCAAGCACAAGGGCTAAGCTTCCATAGACACATACAAAGAGCCCTGCCCAACACGGGTAACTCATGCACACACAAACATGAAAGCATTCTGTGTGTCTATGTATGCGTGTAGCTGCAGGTGTAGAGCTGGCTCTGTGTGTGTATGGCTGTCTGGGCATTGATGTGTGTGTGTGTTTGTGTGTGTGTGTGCGCGCGCGCGCACAGGCGCAAGAGTGTGTGTTTATGACTGTGTGAATGTGAGGAATTTGTGTCTTAGCCACGTCTGTGTGTGTCTGTGGTGGAGGGTGTGCATGTTTTTGTGAGTGGCTGTCAGTGCATAGCTATGTGTATGAAAAGGGGTGTGTGTGTGTGTGTGTGTGTATGCCAGCTTGTGATTTTTATTTGTTTATGTAAATACATTTATTTGTTTATGTAAATACATGTTACTCTGTGTGTGTTCTGCCTGTATTTGTGCACGTTTGTGGATTTTGTATAGAAGCAGGTGTGTATATATACAAATATATGATATAAAGATGTGTGTTTGTGTATATGCATATTTGTGTGCAGACGGGTTTGTGTATGTGCATGTCTGTATTTTTGTGTGATGTCTGTATATATATATGTATAGCTCTGCATATGATGGTTCTGTGCATGTGTGCATAGGAGAGAAAGTGTCTATGTCTGCATTAATGTCTAGCAAAGGAGAGAGAGTGTAAGGGTTCATGTATTTGTGATTTTTTTTTTTTTT